TCATTTTGTTCTAATTGCTACAATGAAAAGTTTGTAATCTGCCCTAGAACAATGGGTTCAAGAGCAAGAGACATTACTCCGTTAACAAGAGACTCTCAAGAGCCTGAATCGCTCACCTGTTATTTTTTTTGCTTAAATCTTTCATCAATGATTATTTTTGCTTTTTACCCATATGTTCCATTTTAGCCATAGTGTCTATGTTTCTTGACGTACAAGGAAATGAAATACAAAATTTATACTAGATTCATTTGAGACGATTTTTAAAGTTAAAAAACATAAAACAACTTGTGTAAAATTGTCCTTAAAGGGCAATAACTCCTTAAGGGGTCAATTGACAATTTTGTTCATTAAATTTTTTTGTAGATCTTACTTTGCTGAACATATTTGCTGTTTACAGTTTATCTTTATCTTCAATAATATTCAAGATAATAACCAAAAACTGCAAAATTTCCTTAAAACAACCAATTTAGTGGCAGCAACCCAACAATGGGTTGTTCGGTGTGTCTGAAAATTTCAAGGCTGATAGATCTTGACCTTTTGAACATTTTTACCCCATGTCATATTTGCTCTTAATGCTTTAGTTTCTGAGATATAAGCCAAAAACTGCTTTTGACCCCTATGTTCTATTTTTAGCCATGGCGGCCATGTTTGTTGATGGATAAAAAATTCGGATACAATTCATAAACTAGATTCCTAAAGGAACATTCATTCAAAGTTAAGAAGTATTAGGCACAATAGTTTCAGAAGAGAAGATTTTTAAATGTTAGCAAACTTTATGAACACATTGCGTAAAATTGTCTTTAAAGGGCAATAACTCCTTAAGGGGTCAATTGACAATTTTGGTCATATAAACTTTTCTGTAGATCTTACTTTGCTGAACATTATTGCTGTTTACAGTTTATATCTATCTATAATTATATTCAAGATAATAACAAAAACTGCAAAATTTCCTCAAAACTACCAATTTAGTGGCAGCAACCCAACAACGGGTTGTTCGATTTGTCTGAAAATTTCAGGGCTGATAGATCTTGACCAATTGAACAATTTTACCGCGTGTCAGATTTGCTCTAAAAGCTTTAGTTTTTGAGATATAAACAAAAAACTGCATTTGACCCCTATGTTCTATTTTTAGCCATGGTGGCCATGTTTGTCGATGGATTAAAACTTCGGATACAATTGATAAACAAGATACCCTAAAGAACATTTAGTTAAAGTTTGAAGGTATTTGGCCCAGTAGTTTCAGAGGAGAAGATTTTTTAAATAGTTTACGACGACCGACGACGACTGACGACGACGACAGACGACGGACGCCAAGTGATGGCATAAGCTCACATAGGGCCCTTCGATTGTGATGGGCATTTTTTTCTGTTCCTGCGGAGGTGTAAAAATAAACTACATGTAAGTTGGGTTAAAACTTTGAGATGGTCCCTCTCAAGTAACACCAATAGGAACAAAAAAAAAATGCCCATCAAAATCCCCCCCAAAAAAATATCTTTCTGAAATTTTATGTATCTAGTAGATGCCAGGCCTTGAAATTTTTCCAACTGCACAGTTTAGTCTGTTCTCAGAGTAGTTTTTGATGTGTAAATAGAGCCATTTGTGTTCATTTGTTAAGATGAACCTTTAGACATTGCCATATGGGATTAAAATTTTAGTTTTGAGCAAAGGAGTATTCAAATAAATTTTTGTTATTCAAAATAGTTGCTAATATTTTTTTTCACTTTTGGAATTTCCTGAAATATGTTTTTTTTTTTTTAATAAAAGGGACACTAGCTGTCAAATTCATGTTCACCGATTTGACTCAAATTCTCATATTCGACTTATAATATACTTAAACGTATATCCAAAAAAACAAAAGTCTAAAATAAACAATTTACAATGCATACACTCGAAATTTTGTATCAGCATTTCGTGTGTATTTTAGTCTAGACGCCATCTAATTAACCATCGTGGTGACCTTCCGTAGATTGTGGACGGTTATATAACCGGTTGTAAACATAAACATAGATATAAATAGATAGCGAACTCGTGCAATTGGATTTTTCTAGGTCTGTTTGATTTCATATTATAGGGTAAAACAATATGTTAATAATCGATTTTACCTGTATAAGAATGAGTTTTTGAAGATCGAACCAGTCAATCAAATGATTTACCCTTGTTTCACTTTCAATGTTGATATTCTTTTCCTTTTACAATGTACTACCTGACTACGCCTAGTTCGTGCGTAACCCATCTCTAGCTAAGAGCACATGGATACGGATTTAATGAGGTCGAATTATTCACTTACAAGTGCATAATAAATTTACAATGTTTCTTTGCTTATTTTGACAAAACCGAACCAATATAGCTGCTACAATTGTAAAAGGGAATTTTTATTTCACTATTCACTTTAATTAATGATTGAACAAAAAAAAATCATATTTTAGTTTTTTCCATATCTCGTAGCTAGTGCCCCTTTAATATGTCTTGTAACAATTTGTAGTGAACACTATATGCTAATCTCTTCTGTTCGTGTTATTAAAAAACAATTTCTATTGTTATGTATAATAGATATAAGAAGATGTGGTATGAGTGCCAATGAGACAACTCTCCATCCAAGTCAAAATTTATAAAAGTAAATCATTATAGGTCATAGTACGGTCTTCAACACGGAGCCTTGGCTCACACCGAACAGTAAGCTATAAAGGGCCCCCAAAATTACTAGTGTAAAACCATTCAAACGGGAAAACCAACGGTATAATCTATTTAAAAAACGAGAAACGAGAAACACTTATGAACCACATCAACAAACGACAACTACTGAACATCAGATTCCTGACTTAGGACAGGTGCAAACAAATGCAGCGGGTTTAAACGTTTTAATGGTACCAAACCTTCACCCTTTTTCTGAAACAATAGTGTAACATCCCAAAATAGAAAGACACACTATAAAATATCAACTGAAATAGCTTAACAATGGATTGTGTTTTCGGGATGTAGAAGCAGGGTTTTCCAGAAACCCGGCCCGCTCGGCACACCCTGTGGTGAAAATCCATTGTTATTCTTAACAATAGATCTATTCAAAAATATTATCACAAAAATACTGAACTCCGAGGAAATTAAATTCGAAAAGGAAAGTTCCTAATCAAATGGCAAAATCAAAAGCTCAAACACATCAAACAAATGGATAACAATTAACTGTCATATTCCTGACTTGGTACAGGCATTTTCTTGTGTAGAAAATGGTGGATTAAACCTGGTTGTATATCTAGCTATAAACCTCTCACTTGTATGACAGTCGCATCAAATTCCATTATAATAACAATTTACACTTGTTTCAGAAATAGAAACGTTGAAGTATAACAACAGAACTGGAGTGTAAAAAGTATTAATCGTATTTTTGGAACACAACCAATCATGGTCTTGCAGTGGCGGATCCAGAAATTTTCATAAGTGGGGGCCCACCGACTGCCTAAGAGGGGGCCCGCTCCAGTCATGCTTCAGTGATTCCCTATATAATCAACCAATTTTTTCCCAAAAAAGGGGGGCCCGGGCCCCCTGCCCCCCTCCCCCCCCTTAAATCCGCCTCTGTCTTGTATGGTGATCTGTTAATACCTGCGAAATGTAACTGTTGTTCAACATATTTTCCATCATTAGCGTTGACTGTTGCGTGGACTTCTTTCTCTCCCTCTGCAAGCTTGTATAATAACCTAGTCCAAATAATTATGACGTCTTGAAAGCTTTTTTTTCTGTGACGCCTTCCTAGTACTAACCTTACTAGAGAAAACAATCATTTTGGCTGTACCGAATGTATGAATTGGCATCCTTTCTGAATAGCAGGTAGATATTAAACTTTGATGCATCATGCACGTTAGAAACTATTTGACCAGTCCGTATATGGACTTTTGAAAGGTAACATTTCTGTACCTATCTATCACGCCCTCGTCGTCTAAAATGGCCAGTCAAAATTGATCCATGCTATGAAATACAGTGAGAACTAAATAAAATAAAGTATTTGAATATGAAGTTTCTAATTATCAATCATCGGGAGATAGGTTCATAAAAGTTTTTTTTTAAAACTTGTTTCTTAATCCCATATTAGACCATTGTGAAAGATTGTTGTAAATTTTCAATGAATAAATGCTGAGACATGTATACAAGCTGTATGTGTATATGCCCGTCTGGCCTTACAATATTTTAAAACTGAAAATAAAGATTAAAGTAACTTGTTTTTTTTAATTTAAAAAGTTCAGTGAAGATAAAGTAAATTGATATTTTTACGTACAGAAGAAATGTTTAGGATGCACGTAAATATAGCAAATGTAATTGGATGATTTTACCATGCCGTTTGAATTCCCTTTTTTCTAAACAAAACTGTCCTACGAATTTTCCTAAGTTAGAAACGGCACTGAGAGACATATAAATAAACACAGAATGGAAACTTTCGTCTGGATCATAAATAAACGAATGTGAAATTTTTTTTTCAAAATAGGTGCAAATTGGGCACCCTCACGTTATAAGAACCCCTCTTATAAATCTCTGTCAACATGTACACATGCCTCTGGAAATGGTACCACTAATTTGTCCATTTTTTTTATATGTGGCAGATTATATTCTCTCTCTGTGTATGTAGTAACCAAATTTTTTTCTGCTATACTGTATAAATGAGTATGTATCTTTGTTTTGATTTTGGTGACGAAAGAAGTTGTTCGGGTTTGGCGTTCTTGTATGTCATTCTTACCGAAATTTTCCTTACTGATACCCCTGTAGTAGTAATTAGGACGGTTTCATTTTTAATGGGGGTGGAAAGATTTTAGAACAGTCTTGATAAATTGATTGTATTCATACTATCGGATAACTACATTTAAAAAATTGTCAACTTCCATAATCTTATATATTTAAAACAATAGTTGTTTAAATGACATGCACAGTATTTAATCTTTTTCGTCAAGGAATTTGTGTATAAGAAGTTACACAGTCAAACACTCCTTTCATCTATTATTATTGTCACATGATTTCAAAATGGTGGATGAACCCTAACACACATGGAAAAATCACGAGAATCATACTTCCTTCTTTTGAGTATTACCAGGCTTATAATTTATTGATAGTTGCTGATAATTAAATGTACTTAATCAATCGTTGATACAAAAACATTCTGTGTTTTTATGAATTCTTTAAACAATCATTGAATCAAATGCCAAACCAAGATCTAGTCAACAGCTCATGTCACCTGAAATGGTTTTAACTCACATGGTTTAAATTCATGACTGGTATTTTGTGCAATGTGATTGAATTGTTGACATTTGCTTCAAACTTTAATTGAGGACTTAGTTTGGTGTGACAATGGAAGATGTGGATCCTTTGGGGACACGACCCACAGTTGTGCAAATAGAAGATCTCACTCGGTGGAACCTTACAGCTTTGTTAGAAACAAGAGAAAATGATAATAACTCTGAAGACTTTCATCCGTTTCCTTGGAGAAATGACTTAAATGCTAAAATTATTCTATGGTATGTAATTGATGCTATATATGGATGAAGTCAGTAAGGTGTAAATTGTATACTTTAGTGTCCAGATAGCGGAATCCGGGTCCTTTCGCCCCAAATCACGTTCGCCCCATTTACGTTTGCCCCCTTTCACGTTCGCCCCTTTCACGTTTGCACCCATTTTATTGGTTTTATGTTGAATAACTCTGTAATCGTGTTTTACAATGTTTTAGTTAGTGTATAATTACTATAAGTAATTTTTTTTTTTTAATTGATTCAAAAAAATAGTGACATTCTAAAAATGTAAACTAGTTTCCTTTAGTATTTTAGAAATTATTTTGACGAAATGAATAATGAACAAAAATTGTCATGATGATCAAGGCAAAGTTCATTCATCTTAGGCTTGTAAGAAAGGCAGAAAATACCAAAACAGCTATCAAACTAGTCACAATGTCATTGCTACGACAACAAACAATAACACAAAAACCAGGGCACAAAGCAGATGTTTTTTCAAGTGCAGTATTTACATTAATGAAAGCTACATTTGTGTAGTTATAACAACAATCATGATTTTCAAACACAGAACTATAATACCATATTTAAATTTGTAAATACCGATTAACAGTAAGCATACATACATGACATAATAAACATTTAATAATTAATCATCAAATCACAAAAAATATTTTTAAAAAATTTCCTAATTTTTATTCATGAAAATATAAATATTTTGATATGTACATCTAAAAAGCATCTTAATAATTCAACCAGTATTTTAATAAAAATAGGGTGCGAATGTGTGGGGTGTGAATGTGTAGGGTATGAACGTGTATTGTGCGCGAACGGACCGATACCCAGATAGTGGTAGCCTGTTTTACTGTTATCGAACAAAATTGTACAGGTAAAAACACGAAATTGAAAATTTGCTCAAGCCACCTGGGTAGAACACTGTATATATGCATAATCATTTGGAATTGGTTTTTTTATTCGCGTAGTAGCTTTATGATTGCAAAAAAAATGATGAAGTCCTCAGGGAAGAACTGAAAAACTTAAACACACACCAGACAAAAAATTCAGTTAAAAAATAAATTTTCCTTAATTCTCTTCAAATTTCAAGCTCAAGATCAATTATCAAATAAAAAATTACCATTAATTTTACGATTTATCTAATTTATAATAATGATACATAAACGATCATAAAAAATAGGTACAATTTGGCAGAGGTAAGAGTTGGCAAAGGTATACATTTTGTAAGTTGTCTTGTACACATTAATCAAATATCTTAATATTGTGAGGGGATTGCTTCCCTTAGTACATGTACATGAAGAAGATACTTAGTCAGTCGTAAGCCGTTGAGCAAAGGAAGTACTTCTTTAGCTCACAAGGTTAACCCACTGCCTTGTAACATAGAGGTCCCAGGTTTGAGTCCTGAAGGAGACAAAGGGATTCTGTAATGAAAATCATGCTCTCCGGTTACAGTATAACTACTTGTTAAATTCTTATTGTGAATTTTTTAAATTTATAAAATTGTTATTTAAATGGGTAGTTTGGAAGTCATAGTAACAAGATAAATTGTATTCTTATAGTTGGAATTCATCTAGAGTATATTGGTGCATATGATTTATATGAAGTTTAAATTTTGCAACTAAAATATAAATGTACTTTGGTCATGCGTAAAAACAAAGTCACTCTTCCGTTGGGTCAACATTGTGATCAATGCAAGCATATAGGATTTCAAGAAATCAAATGTTTTCATTTCTAAAAACTTCAGCAGGGACATACAAATATATATACACTGTAAATGTATATATTAATTTTACTAATACATGTATACATATATAAATTTAATATTATGAAAAATATAAGTTTTGAGATAAAAATTTGGGAATGTGTGTTAATAAAAATAAAATTGAGAATGGAAATGGGGAATGTGTCAAAGAGACAACTACCCGACCATAGAGCAGACAACAGCCGAAGGCCACCAATGGGTCTTCAATGCAGCGAGAAACTCCCGCACCCGGAGGCGTCCTTCAGCTGGCCCCTAAACAAATATGTATACTAGTTCAGTGATAATGGACGTCATACTAAACTCCAAATTATACACAGGAAACTAAAATTAAAAATGATACAAGACTAACAAAGACTAACTTAATACATGGCTGCCCAAGTTGACAGGGGAGAATCAAAATCCATATAAACGGCTGTAGATCCAAATTTTTTGCCATATAAAAATAAGGTGTGGTATGAATGCCAATAAGACATCTCTCCAGCAGAGACCAGAAGTTAACAACTATAGGTCACCATACTGCCTTCAACAATGAGCAAAACCCATACCACATAGTAAGCTGTAAAAGGCCCCAAAATGATAAATGTAAAATGATTCAAACAAGAAAACTAAAGGTCTGATTTATGTACAAAACAATAAACAAAAATTAATATGATATACAGCAACAAAAGACAACCACTTAATTACAGGCTCCTGACTTGGGAGAGTCACATATAGAATATGGAAGGATTAATGAAGTAAATGGCACTTTGTTATTTTGTAATTGTGTAGGTGTGGTGACGTAACAACATTAGATGTACATGCTATTGTCCACTCAACAAATGAGAAACTGAATGATAAAAGTATAGAAACAGAGACATTGTATGCCAAGGCTGGACAGGAACTTGTAGATGAGATTAGAAATAATGTGAGAAGTAAGTACTTTAAAAAGTCTGGACATGGTTGTTTCTTATACCAAGGCTGGGCATGAACTCATAAATAAGATTAAGAATAATGTCAGCAGTAAGTACTGTAAATAGTCAGGACATATTGTTATGCCAAGACTAGTCATGAACACAGATTGAAATTAAAAACTATGTGAAGTTGGTGCTGTTAGAAGTCAGGACATGTTTGTTTGTTATATATGCCCAGGCAGGACATGAACTCAGATGAGATTTAAAAATACCTGTAAAAAGTCAGATTATAAAAAATCTTTCAAAATAAGTTGCAATTTGCAACTTTTTTCGAAGCTCTCTGATCATGCTGGTCATCTTCCAATTTCAAAGAAATTTACCAATTTTTGAGCTCAAACAAAAGAAGTAGTAGCGTTTAACAGCTTTGACATTTTATTTTAAAGTTGCCTGTAAATTTATTCATATGGAGGAATTTGGAGTTTTTTCATGCTCTTCATGATCAACTTTGTATTAGATTTGGCCTTCTAGCGCTGTAGCGGTATTGATTCCAGTGCCACTGATTATTGTTATGTAGATGAAACGTGCATTTGGAATGGCAGATTCAGTGGCAGATCCAGGGGTTAGAACCCCCCCTTTTTTTTTGATGATCGATGCTTTTGAATGGGGACATATGGTTGGAACCCCCTCTTTTAAAAATGGCTGGATCTACCCCTGAGATTGTAGGCCCAGTGTCTTTGCTGAGTTATGGTATGCTTGGTGAATTTAATGTAGATTAATTATCAAGCATCAACATTTCTTGCATGATTGATTATCATAATATATTTATAACACCTATTTAAATAAGGTTTGTTAATATAGTATTTATATTTCAGTATGTAAAACTGGAGAAGCCAAGTTAACAAAAGGCCACAAACTTCTTGCCCGATATGTTTTACACACTGTTGGACCTCGATATAATGTTAAATATATCACTGCTGCTGAGAGCGCCCTCTATAGTTGTTACAGAAATGTAATGCAATTAGTCAGGTACTTAAAATGTTATTTTTTTTTTATCAACTTTTGAGTATTTCTAAGAAGTTATAACATTTTTAAATTTGTCCAATTCATATATATGTCTTGATTTCAATCATTTGAAATCTTGAAGATTTAGAACACAAAAACTTGTTAATATACTTATAAAACTTATAAACACAGTGAACCATCACAGCTGCCGTTTCAAATGAGATGCATCTTCACAGGAAGGATTGTCATTGGTCATTGAATGACAACAGGAAATTAACGAGGAAAAAATAATTGAAAGAACATACAGCCTTATCATTTGTCACTAAACCGGCAAGGAAAACGTATTTGTTTCTATTTGACAGGAAATGAGATCTCTGCTTAACAGCAATTAAAGCAATTAAAATCCGACAATCATAACAATTTTCCTTTTTCTAGCCTCCTAAAGTCTTGTTGGTATAGCAAAATTAATTTCAAAGTTTGGAAACTGTTCATGAGACATTAAAGATATGTGACTAAAGTCCTATCAGTTAAATTTTGTGACTTTTTTTGTCCTATTGAACTAAAATTTTCAATAGCAACTCTGTCCAGTCACCATTTCATTTGTCATGGTAAATAAGCTGTAAAATGACAACCATAAAAAACATGCTGATCTGCTAGTGAAAGATAAATTCAAAGAATATTGAAAATAAAAATACTGAGAACGGCCGGTCGCCCATGAAATACAAACTTAACTACACCCATATATTTAGATCTATATATATAGCACCTCTCTGTTTAAACATTTAGTCTTATTTAAGAAACTATATGGTTTAAGAAAAACTACTTCTTGAAAATAATGTTTTTATTTTTACAGAGAGAATTCTATAAAATCTATAGCACTGTATCCTATACATTCAACAAAAAGAAGTTACCCTGTTAATGAAGGAGCACATCTAGCCATTAGTAAGTATCAGACAGGGATTCATATGGAGAGGTATCCCCCATCCCCCTGAAAAATAAACAAAAACAAATGTAATATTTTGGTAAAATTAGGGTCAATTTTGTGTCTGAACAAGGTTCTCTAATTCCTTATAATCAGGAGCGCCCGGTAACATCTAATCCTGGATCTGCACCTGCTGGTATCCAACTATCCATTACCTTAGATTCATTAATATTTGTTCAGATATTTGCGCATCTATTGAAGTGTTAGGATAATTTGTCCCTGATCTGTATGACTCAAAGGCAAAGTTAAAATTTGTACATGGTGATCTCAAAGGCCATAGTGAAGTTCAAGTTAATTGAAAATGTTTCCTTATTGAAACTACCTCTTTATGAGACATTATTGAGATAGAAAAATCTTTGATTACATGATAAATCAGTTAAATGTACCCATATAAACTGATTGCATAAGGGAAATGAATTATTTCAATAAAATTCTAGATTCAGTTTATGATTCTAGAAACACTGTGAAAGGAGCATTACTTAGTTACTTATAGAACATTTTGGAACTGATAAGCAAAAGTAGAAAATACTGCACTTAAAGATGCATAACTTTTCATTTTGAAAATGATTTAAAGATTCCCAAGAATGTATTATAAAGGGGCATAACTTTGTAATTTTAAAATGATGAAAAGAATTAGATTTTTGTTTGATATTGTAGGAACAATTAGAAGATTCTTAGAGAAATATGGAGATGACATAGAGACAATTATATTTTGTTGCAATGAAGAATCAATTGTGAGTTAAAGAATTAAATTAAAGAATTAAATAAAAATGTATCAAAGTGCAGATTTTTATGAGATTGAATTAAATTAATTTTTTTTTTAATAATATATGCACAAATGCTGTCTTGTGCCTTACCAGACCTTGGGTAATTGACAAATGTATTAAGTTGTAATAAGCGTTAATCAGTTACAATTTTTTAAGGCAGCCTAATGCAAGGAAACCAGTGCAAGGTTGTCTCTGATGAGAAAATCTTACATCTCACAACAAGTTCACTGAATAGGTCAAACAAAAGGAAGGTCAGAATAAATTTTCAAAATACCAAAGTAGAAAAGTAGACAAAGGGAAACAACTCTGCATTTTAGAGTTGTTATTTTGAATTTATTTATATAAGGCCAATTAAAATTAATTGATAGATTTTCTACCTGCCCGCCCTTCTGAAATCGTCCTGCCTCGATTTTTTTTATTTTTAAAAATTTACGATTTCCGGATTGTTCATTTCCGTTACCGGAAACGGCCTACATTTCATTCAAAACTTCCTGTTTCAAATTTCGGTTTTCATATTTCTTCGAGTAATATAAGTCGACATATTCTTCTGCTCATTGATGACAACATTATCTTCTGAGAATATAGATTGATTACTAGAAGGGCATGAAATATTCGGGTTACGAGTAATAGGCGGTGTCCAAGAACGCTGTATGTCACAAAGGAGTAGGTCCGGTAAGGGCCGATTTTGGCCTCAAAATTCAAAATTTATGTAACAGAAGTATTCTTCTTTCCAATAAATAGCTAAAAAATTACATTTTAACAATTTTGTAAAACTGCTCTATTTTGGGGCCAAAAAGGGGTCTTAGTGGACCTACTTCTTTCAGTGAATAGAAAACTGGATTTTTTTATTTATACAATGACTTTGTGTCAGGAAATTTGGACTGTGATTATAATCAAAAGAATCATGAAACACATTGGTACAAAAACATGACTGGAATAAAGTAATTGACACAAGCACGAACTTGTGCGATTTATGACTGCATATTGAGTACAAAGAGTTGGCCAACGTACAAAATGTATTATAGCAACCCCTTAGATTTACTCCAAGGCCGTCATTTTTGTTGGCAAACAGCAAACACCCTCTGTCCCCAGCCCCTCAATAGAGTCATTAAACAACTTCTTTTTGGTTCAGTTCATGTTTTACATTGTAATTATATTTGCACCTTGCATAAGAATCTTAAAAGCATCAACCCTAGTATTTTCAACACAGTTTTAGTATTCATTTCACTCTGTACTTATAATATTTATGTTGCATACCAATGCATATGATTCATTTTATGGGCACTACACATCATAGGCTTAGAAAGCAAAATACATTTGATCTCGGTAGTCTAAAAGAGAACATTTCTCCATGTTTTTGCTATTTACTAATAATAGGTTTCTAAAGCGGCAATTACATGTAGAACAGTGGTTGCCAATCAGAAATATTAATTTAAGAATTTGAAAAATAATGTAGAATTCCTTATATAAACATGATATAAGCTTATTAATACCTTTGTATATGAACAACACGTCACAAAAGGGTTTAGGAGGAAATAGAAATTAAAAAATAAAATCCTCCCACCCGCCCCATTTTTTTCAAAAATCTGGATGAAAATCTACCAATTAATTTTAGTTGGCCTAATCTACAGATCTAATTTTAAGGTGTGATATCAATCCAAATTTTTTATTTCATTGCTAAGAAATGTAGTAAATGTTCATTTATTGTAGAGACACATGCAGGTTCTTGAAAAACACCTAGACATAAGTTTGAACTCTCAACTGTTTTCTTTTTGGTGACTACAGTATTTAGATAACCTATATTATACATGTATGGGGCAATTTTGTTTATGGTCTATTAATTTAATATGATTATGGGAGGGTTAGGTGGGAAGTGTGGTTTTTTTGGGGAGGGGGATAGGCTGTGGGTTATTTATTATGTATATTTATGTGCATTTGATAAAACTACTTAAAGAAAGTATCGTGGTTGTTGAGGGGATTTTGGAAGTCCCTTCCTACCCTCCATCATCATTTTAATGGAATACCCCTAAAAATGACAGTAAATTTTTATGTCCCTGCCATAGGCAATGGGATCATTAAGTGTTACCCATGACCGACCTTTGGTTCGTCCCATTTTTCGTTTCCACACTCTTACTTAAGTTTGTCTCATGCAAATTTTATGAAACTCATACACAATGCTAAGAAACAACGCAGACAGAGTTCGAATTTGAGCAGTGAGTCATTTACTGTTCTAGAGTTATGTCCCTTTTTAACTTGGAAAATTGCAAAGCTTGAGCGGGGGCATTTGTGTCCTCAGACGCATTATTCTTATATTTAGATTAGAATCATTTTTTGGAATATCAAGCAAACTTTATTATGTGAATGCTGTAGTACAATTTCCAAAATGACACAAAACTTCTTTTGGTCCCTATATTGGCACTTTTAAAGAGCAGAATTGCAGGAAAAAATTGTATAATAGATATATGTTTTTTCTTTTTACCAGGATGCCTATTTGAAAATTTTACCCTTGTATTTTCCTCGAAATGAAACTGAGGAAAAAATAGCAGTAACAGAATTACCCCTAGATATAGGTAATGAGGATGGAGAACCAGTAATACCAGAACGACAGATTAGAATTATGGATAAACCTACACTGGCAGCCATGAGTAAGTATCAACAGGGTATCAGTCATACAGGGGTAACCTATCAAAACTATTGATAAACTATAAACCTACCATGGCAGCCAATCAGAATTATGGATAAACCTACACTGGCAGCCATGAGTAAGTATGAACAGAGTGTCATTCATGCTGGAATGACCAATCAAAACAATAGATTAACCATAAAACATACCCTGTCAGCCAATCAGAATTATGGATAAACATACCCTATCAGCCAATCAGAATTATGGATAAACCTACCCTGTCAGCCAATCAGAATTATGGATAAACCTACACTGGCAGCCATGAGTTAGTATTATTAGGGTATCAGTTATCCTAGAATGACCTATCAAAATTATGGATAGACCTACAATCGCAGTCATAAGTATTAACAGATCAGTAATACTGAAATGACCAAATAAAATTATGGATGAACCTGCACTGGCAACCATGATGTATTTAACAGAAAATCAGTCATACAGGGGGTAATCAATTAAAATTATAGATAAACCTACACTGGTAACCATTAGAAATATTATAAACAGGGAATCAGTCATACAGGGGGTAATCAATTAAAGTTATGGATAAACCTACACTAAGAGCCTTGAATAAGAAGTTTAAACAGGCTGTGTATTATTTCACCAGCTTATCTTGGATACCTGCATAATATATGTCATAAATGAATAAAAATATTTTTTTTTTTAAAATAAGGGAACGACCATTTAACTTCAAGGGGGCAAAGGGGGGAGGGTTATGGTTTTTTCCTAAAAAAAATATTATGATCCCCAATTTGATGAAAAAAATATTCTGATTCCAGATTTTCCCCATACCTTTATATAGTGTTATATTTTGAAAAAAATAATTTGATTGATAGCGTTGAAAAACTAAAAAAAAATGTTCTCGCTTTGCGCGAAAAAAATTTCTGACTCAGACAAAAAACCATAAATTATATATAACCCCCCCCCACCCCCTTGAAGTTAAATGGTTGCTCCCTAAGACATTTGTACAAAGATTTGACCTTTTCTGTATACATGTACCTGTAGGTATAGCACTCAGATCAAACACATTTTCAGAGTCTTCCATGTGCTTTATTGTCCTGAATATGCATTTAATATTTGGCACTGGATATTAAACAAACAACAATCAATCAGTTAGTCAAATTTATTATAGTTTTTGTGGTACTTCTTTCATAGATATTTGTGGTACTTCTTTCAGGGAAAAGTTCTCTTGAAGGATTTGAAGAAACAGTAGATTTAAACAAAGAATTTGCAACTTCAACTATTGTTGAGGTTGGTAGGCATCCATTTGCTAAGATGGAAGAAAATCCTGACACTCATAAAAAGTCACATATGTATGGTAAAACAACAGATGAACAGCGAGAACAGGACAACAAACGGAGGTATGTTTATTTTTAATGTTTGGATAATATATATTGTCTTTAATGTGAGAAAAATCTTTCACTACAGCTCTGTTCTGTCATGTATATGAGCATAATGACCATACTTGCCAACCTCTAACAATGAGAAATCATGTCATGACATGACATGATATGTCAAAAAGCGTGTGAAAATGCGTGACGTAGATGCGGACTTTTTAATATGAACAATGTTCATAATCTCACATTATACAAATTTGTTAATATAAAAAACAATATTCTTCTATAAACTTTTATTAGGGCCCCGCCGAATGGCAGACGCCCTTTAGTGATCAGTCTGTTTGTCCGTCCGTCCGTCAGTCTGTCAGTCTGTCAATCCGTCCGTCCTTAACAAATTGTGTCCGCTCTATATCTAGAGAACTGTTATGATTTCAAAGTTTATACTTGACATGTATATTAACCAACACCAGAGGGTGTGTCATAATGTATGTTCAACTTCCTAAGTCGAAGGTCAAGGTCAAAAACTTTGGTTTAAGTTGACAGCCCCATGTCCTATGGTAAAGATCGTGTTCACTCTATATCTTGAGAACCGTTATGATTTCAAAGTCTATACTTGATATGTATATAAACCAACACCAGAGGGTGTGTCATAATGTATGTTCAACTTCCTAGGTCAAAGGTCAAGGTCAAAAACTTTGGTTTTAGTTGACAACCCCATGTCCTATGGTAAAGATTGTGTCCGCTCTATTTCTTGAGAACCGTTATGATTTCAAAGTTTATACTTGATATGTATATAAACCAACACCAGAGCAAGGCTTCCAAAACGGTCATATATTCCGGACATTTGTAAAATGTCCGGTAAAAGTCCGGCTGGGCAAAGCACGAAACGGTCATCTACTTTTTAGATTTCAAGGCTTTCTTAAGAGACGGTCATTTTAACATAATTCGCGATCTTTTTGACCCAACCTTTTGCCCTTAACAGCCACACATTTCCGGTCATAAACGTGACATGATCATTAAGTACTATCAAAACAACCCCTACTTTAATACCTTCTCATTTTAATCAAGGCTAATTAGTTGCCGAACAGCTGAAATTTACCTGTTCAGGTAACAGGTAAACTATTTTGAACCGGACATTGATCGGTCTATTCAAAGTTATTTTCTTACATTTCACCGGTTTGCATCTTATTAATTTAGTCAAAAAGATTTAAATTATCAGAAATACATTTACAAATAAGATTTGATGAAAAAATTAAAGAGATGAAAATGAAAAATCGTCATAACCACGTTGTTTGAACCAGAGACATGTCTCTGTTTGAACTAGTACACGTGTGCGCATGTGCATGTGCGCAGGTGTGAAATTTAATTATGCATCCTAATTTCTTTAAAAAATGCTTAAATTGTCATTGATACCTTTATCTCATGTTTATTTCGAATATTTTCTTGAAGAAATAACGTAGAATGAGCTATTTACACTCATTCATGCTTTGCAAACGTACACGGAATTTACGTATCCGTCTCTGGTCCATGTTTTACCATTGTCAAGATAACATCCGGTTTCAGATTTAAAAACGAAAGTAAAGTTTTTGACAACGTTATTTTGCACAAATAAAGAGTCTAAGGCAGATATAAGTACGCTGATGTTGCACACTTCGGATGATGCACTGCCAATTTAACAGTTTACGTCAGAACTTCGAATTTGAATCAAAGAAAGTTTAATATCGTTTTTTTTAAATATCAATCATTGGGATGGCCAACTCGGCAACTGATTACCATAATTGCCTTTTGTTTATTTAGTCTTATGGGATTAAAATCGGGATAATATATAAAATGTCCGGCTGGCTAAAAATAATTTTGGAAGCCCTGCACCAGAGGGTGTGTCATAATTTGTGTACAACTTCTTAGGTCAAAGGTCAAGGTCAAAAACTTTGGTTTTAGTTGACAACCCCATGTCCTATGGTAAAGATTGTGTTCGCTCTATATCTTGAGAACCGTTATGATTTCAAAGTTTATACTTGATATGTATATAAACCAACACCAGAGGGTGTGTCATAATTTATGTACAACTTCTTAGGTGAAAGGTCAAGGTCAAAAACTTTGGTTTCAGTTGACAACCCCATGCCCAATGATAAAGATACAAATTTTTTACCACACATTATTCACAGCGGGGCCCACAGAGATGGCCCCCATCTCAATGATATCTAGTTGTATTCAACAGTGGTCTGTTTTGCTGCTTTTAAAGCAACACCACTAGGTACAAATTCAAAACAACTGCCAGTTTGGTTACATTTACTTGATAACAAGGCACACAATATATCATTGTCAAGTTCTGATCAGAATTCAGTGTGAATTTCTTTATAATTGAAAATGCTCTCTCAGTCAGAATTGATATTGACTGAACTAAAATAGCTTTATCAAGCTTTGAAAGAGTGTCATAACGTTTTTTTGCCATCTAAAATGTCATCTATTATCTCTGCCATTGCTCCCAACAAACTATATATGTTGCTATTGCCTGGTCAAAACTATGTAGTTCATCAGAAAACAGCTGGTACTATGAGAACTGATCCAACAGTTCCGTGATATTTCCATCCCCTATGGCCTGTGGAAATCTGTCGGCTAGATTTGAAACTGAAAAAGAAAAATATTTTATTATTTGATTACCATTAAACACGTTAAATGCTTAATCAAATAGCTACATTGTAGTTCTCCTCTCACATGTATTGTTATGATTTCAACATAGGGTGCACTATGCGTTACTCGTCCCTCGATCATTTAAACTCGAACTCCCAAATATAATTTATAAATCTTGAATCTTAGACGTACACATCATTTTCACTTTACAATCGGCTCTTTAGACGACGGTACAGGTTCTGAAAGCGACCTTTTTCTGTGGACATTTCCCCTACGTCAATTTTAAAGAAAAAAAGTCACAAAATCATAAAAACTAATCACAAACTACTTACCTTAAGTGCTTTTTGCTGTTCGTCCATATAGAAAAATAAACAATGACGACCAAACAATTACTTCGAAATTTTCGGTATTTATCGTCTAATAATGTAAAACCCGAGAAACCCGAGAATCGTGATATCACTAACAACCAAAAAATCATAACAACGAAAAAGCGTGTAATTGTGTGTAAAGTGGTGAAAAGCGTGTACACGCCATGTGACAAAATCCTCGTGTGTATTACACACAAATATCATGTCAGTTGGCAACTATGGTAATGACGCGTGCCACATGTGGAGCAGAATTTGCTTACCCTTTCGGAGCACCTGGGATCTCCTCCAGTTTTTGCTGGAGTTAGTGTTGCTCAGTCTATAGTTGTTGATATTGTGTTTTGTATTATACTGTTGGTTTTTTTTGCCATGGCATTATCAGTTTGTTTTTGACTTACCGATATGAGTTTGAATATCCTTTTGGTATCTTTTACATCTCATTTCTACATGTGGACACATAAGTTTTGTCCTACAGTATGTAAGTGAGTTGTTGATTGTACTTAGGTGCAGGGTTTAAGCTAGGATTTTGAGGGCTTTAGTCACTTTTGCGCGGTATGAAAATCAACCTTATTTTGGGTAGCAGCAAGGGACCTAGGATGTATATTACTATCTATACATCTTTGTCAGACTTTGAAGGACTTAGGCATACTAGGCAGTTACTGCATGATTTGACTGATGTGGCACTTTAATACAAAGATAAGGATATAAGATCTAGAAATCTAGTTCACAATTTCACTTCAGATAGTTTCAGGGTACATTCCTAATCAACAAAAGTTGGGATCCATTTTTTTTTTAACCAGGAATCACAGCATAAATGAACTTGTAAGGACTATTTCACTGCATTATTCATACTCATTATCCTTAAAAACGTTTTAAAGCGATATTTAGAATCAATTCTATAAAGTTGGAACCAAGGATTTGTACAAATCCTTATTGGAACAATTCTAATGACTTTAAATTGTAAATTTATCATGATTAGATCACGTTTACTTTCAATTTCCAATGAAATGAAATCGGAAGTGACAAGTGGATAATAAATTCAGAATGAATACGGATTCATCTACGAATTGGTTCGTGTTTAAAAAAGGCAGGAGATTATCATTTTTTATATTAAATTTGCTAAATAAGAACTATATTTGTCTCTCTCGTTTAGTTTGATACTTAATTATTTCGTATTTTACGTTTTAGTGTCTTTAAATTCATAAGAATACTTTCGCGCATGCGCAGTTCATCTTGTGAAAACATTTCTGAATGTTATGAATAAATTTCTATCTTTTTAATCGAAATTGTCGAAAGTTTTTTATTAAAAGTTATATCAAATATGACGAAAATACGTTCATTTGATGAAACTACGACAAGCGAACTGCAAATTGTGATCGTTTGAGAAATATTGAAATTAAAATGCGATCTGTCTGAGGGAAAATATTTTCCTCAAATGACGAAACTACGACAAACGAACTGCAAATTGTGCTCGTTTGATAACTTTGAAATTGAAATGCCGACTGACTGATATTACTGGGGAAAATAATATGATGATCAATTATGAGGTTGATAAATAATTAACGGATAAGTGACCCATCCGATGGCGATAAGCAGATTATCTGTAATCACAACTTATAACACCTGTTGTAAATGTTAATTAGCTGAGGGTCATAAACTTGTCAGAAACAATAAGACAGGTAGAATTATAGTATTTTTCATGCGAAAATATTTTTACTCTTTCCAAATTCAAGTGACGAAATTGATTTGGAATACTTTCGTCATTTTGAAAACCGTTTCGTAAATGACGAAAATGACGAGCGCTAGAAAAATCACTGCTTAGGTGTGGTCTGTAGTACTGACAAATATTTTTTCATAATTTTAAGGTTGTAGTCATTTTAGGTGAGGTTTAGGAAATTTTGTCAGATGTTCAGACTCATTGGGTTTTTCCTAGGGTAAAATATTTTGCCCCATATCACCGACTTTTCTTTTCATAAGAGACTTCAGTAGCTCATAAAAGGGCATTTCCAACTTTTAAGCTGATTTTAGATTTCTTTTCTTATGATTTAAGTCCCAAATAATGCCAATACTAGAAGTCAGCCTTTTCCCTGCCATTTTTTTCAAATCAAGTGTCTCTAAAGAGTTTCATAACCTGTCATTTTTTTTCAGCATATTTTGTTCCTTAATTTAATTATGCTCCTCTAATTTAAAGTATTATTTTAGATTCCAATTTTTTTAATTTCACCTGACCATATCCTTAATGTATCATGAATGTTATGAGTTTTTCTGTCACTTATGTTGATATTGAAATGTTTCCATGCATGTATACCAGATATATCTGCACTTAAGATGTGTGTTAGTGTGATTTTCAGTTTTTTGAAAGAACATAAGACTTGCAAAAATAGACTACTTCTGTCGATTCATTATTATATGTGGGATACCACTTTTTGTAGATTTCATTCGTACAAATAAACCCCAAATTTAAATTTTCAAAGCATTACAAATTTTCTAAATTGGGGGAGGGCAGGACCTTTTTCGGGACCGTTGGGATCGGCCTTTTTTTAATTCGGGAAATCAAGACACCTACAATTTAACTCTGGGATTTTGGGAAAAATTGTGAACAAGATTCAGGTTTTTCGTATTTTAAGCTCGGGAAATCGGGATTTTTGTTTGTCAGGATGAAAATTTTTCCTTTTGTCGGAATGCGGGATTTCAATGTTTTAAGATCGGGAATACGGGATTTGGGCAAATTAAGTTCGGGATTTCAAGATCAGAACCCCTCCTGCCCCCTCCTAAATGCTTCTATGCAGACTTTGCCTAAGCCACAAAATCAAATATCCACAAAAATATAAGTTTTCCTCAATCCATGAAAATTGAGATCCATGAAAAATAAATGAATCCTCATGAACAATTTTTCCTTGCAGATATGAGAGGTACCTAAAGCGAGCCAAGACGGAAGATTTAACAGACATTGCAGCACTAAAGTGTTTATACAGGACTGGTACTGACAAGTTTGGGAGACCAGTCATAGTGTTTGTCGGCAAATTCTTTCCTGTTAATACTGTAGACTTAGACAAGGTTAGAATAGATTATCTTTAGGAAGTCATACAGAATTCAATGATAAAGATAAATTTAGTGCTAAAGGTCTTTAATGGAAAACAATCTACAATCATATACTATTTAAAAACATATTCATTCCCACAACCATATACATCCCAGCCTAAATAAACAATAATGTATAAAAATAAGATGTGGTATCATTGACAATGAGATAACTCTCCAACAGTGACCAATGATGCTGAAGTAAGTAAATATAGGTAACTGTTCAGCCTACAACAATGAGCAAAACCTATACCACATAATAAGCTACAAAAGGCCTTGAAATGACAAATGTAAAACAGTTCAAACGAGAAAAACCAACGGCCTGATTTATGTACTAAACAATAAATATAAAACAAATATGATATATTACAACCACTTAATAACAGGCTTCTGACTGGAGATAGGCACATACATAATGTTGTGGGTTAAACATGTTTGTAAGTGCCCAACCCTAACAAGAGACAGTGGTGTAACAGCACAACATAAAAAATAACTAAAAAGTCAGTTGAAAAGGGCCTAACTCATCCAATCGATACAAATAACAAACACAACTAACAAAAAAACAAAAGACACAAAGTACAGATCTGAGAGTACTCACAGTTACTGACAGCTAGTTCAAAGTCAATTACAACTTACAAAAAAACAAAAGACACAAAGTACAGATCTGAGAGTACTCACAGTTACTGACATCTAGTTCAAAGTCAATTACAACTAACAAAAAAACAAAAGACACAAAGTACAGATCTGAGAGTACTCACAGTTACTGACAGCTAGTTCAAAGTCAATTACAACTAACAAAAAAATTATGTATCTTAGACTAAAATATCAATCAGTACACATCCGACAGTTAATGAATTTAGTCATGAACAGTCCAAGAAAAACATGACCCAAAATATAGGTATTGACAGAATATAAGACCATGAATTTACCGTACATATGTGTATAGCTTTAATATTTTCCTTATTACTGATCATGGCCTTCAATTACTTGATTATTACTTACTTGTTTATTTGAAATTTTAAACTTCAATAATTTTCCACTCTTGTTCACTTGTACATTTAAACAATATATAAAAGGGGACATTTACTTTAGCAACCATAATAGCTTCTTTATGTAATGTATTGAGGGGCAATATATTGCAATTGATTTCAAGTCCTCGTATATACTGGAATCTCTTAAAATAGAAATGACATTGTACATTGCAATATCTATCCAGGTACATTTTTCTCTTATCTAAGTGATCAGCTTTGTAATTTATTGAGTCTGTGATTACCAGTGTATCTCCCCAAATAGAAACCAAACTTTGTAGTGTTTCCTCAGTAAAAAATGTTTTAAAAAATCTCCGTCAAAATCACTCTTCAAGTTGAGGTGTTTATTATGGAACAACTAATTGAAGAAATCATACATACAAAAATGAATATGTGACCAAACAACACATTACTTCATGAATGTAAGTAGATATGGGCTGAAGTTGCCTAAACAGGCTTAGACACAGTGTCAATATATTTTTCTATTTTCAGGCATTCCTCTATTTGATAAGAGTTTTGGAGCCGATTGCTGAAAAAGATTATGTTGTTGTTTATTTTCACACTCAGTCTACGGCAGAAAATCATCCAACCATGAATTATCTCAAAAATGCATATTGTGTACTGGATGAGAAGTAAGTTTACAACATTAAAAATAATATTGAAATTTCAAATCTTATTGAAGTTCATTGTAGCTATAGCAACATGCTTTAGGCCATTTGTTGGAACTTTACTAGAGAAGGAACTGTTGGATATAGAAATTGTTCCCCCCTTTTTGGTAGTCTGTAAGGGTTGTGTGGGATTTATGAATATGTAGCAATAACAAATCTTAGGGCAATAGCCGTACTGACTCCAGGTTAATAAACCCTTGCAATAACTCTTTGAGCGGTCTGTAGGTGGCCTGTTGCAGGACAAAATTTCTAACCTATTCAACGTTCTCGATTTTCAGTGGCAGTCCAAATTTCTAGCCCTTCAGTCAATTGATAATAAAAAAATAAATGAATAAATGATGTTGTATAATCACTGAAAAAAAATTATTTATTAATGCACAACACAAATTTATTTATTCTTTGTTACAAGTAAGTTATTAATTCAGCATTTTCAAATCTTATGAATATATGGTGACAATATTTTTCATTTAAACTTTCACCAGTCAAAATCAACAACATTAGAATGTAAGGAGTCAGTAGTTCAAACTCCCCTATACTTGTATAGTGATATCCTGGTAAATGTTAAACTGAGACCAAGAAAGAAAAGTTAAATGGTCATCATACCATATTTACTTATTTTTAAATTACATGATCAAAAGAATTTGCAAAAAATGTTTATAATTCCTCTTTTAATTTCTCCTTTAATGTTCTCGTTTACAGGTATAAAAAGAATTTGAAGGCTTTTTATGTTGTTCATCCAACATGGTGGTCAAAGGTATAGTTTGTAGATATGGAATTAAACTTTTACCATTATTATACGCCCGTCAAAATTTTTACAGGACGTATTATGGTATACAAATGTCCGGCGTCCGTCTGTCTGTCTGTCCGGCGTCCACATGTCACACCGTAACTTGAGAAGGACTTATCCAAATTTCATGAAACTTAACATATTTGTTTCTCATGATGGTCAAACGATCTGTATACTTTTTGGTGAAAATAAGATTAAGTTACGGGACTTTGTAACTAAAACAGGGTTTTTTTTTTTTCACATGTCACGCCGTATCTCAATAAAAACAGCTGCGCCATGAGCGCATGATACGCCCGTCGTCTTGTGTGTGAATTTTTATGCAATAATCATAAATAGTTTCTGACATACGGCGTGACATGCGAAAACCCCTCTTTTTTTTTTTAACAAAAAACTCAATATCTCTAAAATAAACTATGTTAAGTTTCATGAAATTTGGATAAGTCGTTCTCAAGTTACGGTGCAACATGTTTACGCCGGACAGACAGACGGACAGACGACATTTGTATACCATAATACGTCCCGTCAAAATTTTGACGGGCGTATAAAAACGATTTATGATTATTGCTTAAAAGTTTACACACTTCTTAATTATATTAATCTAAAGATCTGTATACTTTTTGGTGATGATTCAAAATTTTATTTTAGAGTTATTGATATTTCTATAAAAAAATGGGGGTTTTCGCATGTCGCGCCATATCTCAGAAACGATTTATGATTATTGCATAAAACTTCACACACAAGACGACGGGCGTATCATGCGCTCGTGGCGCAGCTGTTTATTTTATCCTGCTTTGGTTTATTGTTAACCTGCCGACAAAGATTAGTGATAAAGATCTTTTAAAAATTATAAGTCCCTGTTGTTCAGTTTATTACATTGTGGTTAACTTTCTTAGTGAAGAAAAATTAGTGTCCTGGATGAATAAAATACAAACTCCATCTCACAAACATATAGATCAAGTGTCATGCACAAATATTTATTTAGTCAGAATTTCAGGTACTCATTATAAAAGATTAGATTATAGTTAAACTTCCTATTTTTGTTTTCTTTCCAGTTGACGACATGGTATTTCACAACTTTCACAGCGTCAGATCTCAAAAATAAAGTATACAACTTGAAAGGTGTTCAGTATTTATATGGTACAATTTCTCCTGATCAACTCGATGTACCATCGTTTGTTATAAATTATGATACTGAGGTATGTACTGTTCGTTGTATTCAGTGTATTGTTTATTTTGATATTCAGCCAATGGTTTTTGTCCCAATCTCGATGTGTTGTGGGGTACATAAAAATAGTGCTCTCATGTGTACAATTCTTGCCAGATTTTTTATAAAACTTATTTAAGCATTGTTCTTAGACAAGATCAAAATCAGTGCAGATCAATTATTTTTATAAGAGTTGGAAATATTCTTCATATGGAAAATTGCATTGTTTGCCCTCTCACATGTACAATTTTTGCCAGATTTTTATCAAATTCATATCATAGGTCTATAACAGTAATATGTTGTTTTTCCAGACCCTACTACATTTGTTTTAAGTAAAAATTTCCACTGAAAGCACTGACCACCTCAGTGTTCATAATGAAATAATAAGGAATATAAAAATGAGGAGGTGAGATGTGATTGCTAATGAGACAACTATTCAACAGAGTTGAAATGAAGTAATTATAGGCCACCATATAGCCTTCGCCAATGAAAAAAACCCATGCTGTTTAGTCACTGTAAAAGGCCCCGGCATGAAAAATATGAAACTATTCAAATGAAAAAACTAACCAAGTAACAACCTCATTTATAACAAAACAATTTACGTTGGTTTTAGATGAGAATATTCTTTTAGGAAATCTAACATCATTTTCTAACCAAACATTTTATACAAACTTTAATTATATTTTCACAGATTAATGGATTTAGATATTATGTTCCACCAGAACAAGAAGAAGCCACTGGACTGTGACGAAAGTTTCTTGACTTAGATAGAAAGTACACTGTTTTTTGGAATATATTAGTACATTTTGATTCATTATTTTTGAGAGATTTTTTTAATATCTGTGATACTACAACATATGATGGTCCTATATTTAACATATTTGTAAGAAATAGGGTAATTTTTTTAAGCTCTGAAATTTATAGCTACTGCTTTTTTGCAATTTTTTTTCCTCTTTACTCTTGTTTTATTTGAGTTTCATGAATTTAGGGAACAGTATACTTCATTGCAATGTTGTAAACTCGAGTTAAAAGGGAGTTTAAGCACATACATACTCATTCAAACATAAAGTATTAGATTAAAAACATGTATGACAATATAAGACGAGCATTAGGTCCTCTTGCACTTAAAATCCCCCCTAGAGATTTTGAAAAGTTGGTAATTATGTTTATGATATTTTAAGGTTGTAAAAAACCTTTTCTCATGAATACGTACCTAAAATGTTTTTTTTTCATGGAAAGTGCTAATTTTACTTCAGCAATCAATAGTTTTAAATTTGTAAAATCTTTATGAGGACCAGTCTCCTTAGAGTGAGATAAACATTTCCACAAAGGAGAATAAATCCTTCAATTTCTGATCTCCCACTTCCTGTAATTCTGATTCCTAGCCTTCTAGTCAATGGCCTACCAACCTAAATGCAGCTTATACTTATTTTAGAGTCTTTTGTTTAATGTAGCCACTGATTGAACTTGTGGCATGTACACTTCATTGTCAATAAGATCATGTTGGCGGTCATGATGTTAACAAATTATATTACGGTTATATTAATATTTCCAGGTTATATCTTAATCTGGGAGACAGTCAAGAATAAATGAATTATATGTGTATAGTTGTTGTTGATCCATAAACAATTTAATAAAATCATACACCCATCAGTGTACTAGCTAGAATTGAAGGGCACAGTCTCTTGATCATGTTCATATATAAAAATTTGAAATAATTAAATAAATTTATGTATTTTTGCTTGAATTATGCACATCTGCCAACTTTCACAATTTATTGGGGATTTCCCCATGAGAGGTGTTGAAATGAATGTTCAAATTCTTTATAATACATGTATAACCTGAACACCTCAAAACAGGCATTCAATTGAGTTAAAAGGGTGTTTAAGCACATACATTCTCATTCAAAAATAAAGTATTAGATTAAAAATATGAATGACAATATAAGACGAGCATTAGGTCCTCTTGCACTTAAAATTTTGAAAAGTTGGCAGGTATGTTTACAATATTTTAAGGTTGTTAAAAAACCTTTTCTTAGTAGTCATGAACATGTACCTAAAATGTTGGTTTTTTTTTTCATGGAAAGTGCTTATTCTACTTCAGCAAACCAAAATAAAAATAGAAGGACTATCAGGAATGGGGTGCTGAAAGGACAGTAGGGAGCTGCACCTCTCTATTTTGGGGCTAGTTAGGACACTGCTGATAATCACAAATTTGAAATATCTTTATACCATATTAAATATGGCAATCATGAATGTATATACATATTATCTATACCTTATGAAAAAATGAATGTTATAATTAGAATGATAAACAAAAGGGATGTAAAAATTGGAAAACAAAATTATTAAATTATGTTTGCATGCGATTTTCAATGTGTCCAATGAATATGATTTTGTATTTGAGAACTGTTTTAGTTTTCTCTAAAATTCTTGTCCTGAATATGCATGAACTATTTGCACTAGGATGTTAAAGAAATAACACCCAACTTGCATCTTCTTTTACTATGAAATAGTTTTTGGAAAACATAGGCCAAATTAATTTCAATTTCTGGTGATAACCACATTTTGATTAGTTCTTGCTTTTTAAATTTAAATGAAAAAAATACAAAGAACAATATTTAATTTGGTAGTAACTTGTTTTGTTGCCTGGCAACGTTTTGTTTGGGGAAATACATAGGGATCACTTGTGTCACCTTGCATCATTGCCACATAGTTGTCTGCATTGTCCATACCACATTTTGTTAATCCCCAACTCCTTAGTAAAAATTTTCTACAGGACATGAATTTGTGCACCTTTTATTTTTATTTTTAAAATGTGATTTTTTTTGGGGGGGGGGGGGGGTTCCCAGACCAAAACATGATTTTAGTCATTGTTTCCTTTATATCAGTTAAATAATTTGCAAGTCTTTTGAAAACCTTGAATAACAAATTGAAATATTCAACCAATCATGCACACTTGTACACCTGCTTTATGTAATTTTGAGTATTTTTTTTTTTATCAATACAAAGACTTTGCCATTTATGCTGAATACGTAAATGGAGTCAGCAGGCACACACTTTTTCCTTAGAAAACTTAACCATTCTAATATCTCTTTTCTTTATCTTAAATGTTTTTTTGTAAATGTAATTGGTTTTTGTGAATATATGATATTAAGATTCGAAAAGAAGAATGTATGTTAATTGAGTTGGTAGATGTATTAACAGGTAATTTATTAATAAATGTATTTTTGTAATCTATTGCTGTATACTCAGTATAGTTTTTTTTTTTATATATACCATATGAATTATATATATGAGATAGCTTTTTTTTTGCAATGGCAGTCACAGATTTTCTATAGTTTTGTATTATGTATTTTTTTAGAATTCATATTGAATGAAATAGAATTTGCTAAATCTCTTCTGTATAAAGTTGCAACACTTTATAAAATTAGGGTTGTTTACAACTACTTGTATCTGAAGTGCCAAGAAGTCAGAGAGGTGGCAAAATATAAAGTTGAAAATGAGAGCAGCAACATCTGTTGTGTATTTATACTGCATACGTTTGTGTCAAAAAGTGGAATTATTATGGTCAACAAATGGTTTCCATAGTAACTTTTTTGTATTACTGTGAAAATGACTTGTGTTGCTTATAATATGAGCTGTGTCGGATAGAAATCGACCTTATGCAAATGAATATCAATACATGAAATACATCTTTTAACCTATTTCCGGTTGAAAAAATCTCTATGAAAAGTCTGTCTGTAACTGTTTGAAAATTGAGCTGTTATATTAGAAAATCTACAAAACAAAACAAACCTTTAATTTCGTATTTTAAAGTTCCAAAATCAATCAAAGTGTTATACATGTGTATGTGTACATGCACTTGCATAAGGTGGCTTTCTATCTGACACAGCTAATATGTTGTTGTGTGGGATAAAATTAATGGTTATTTTTTTTGACAAAGGAGAACGTATGATAAGTCCCCATTTTTGGCCCCTTAAATTCGAAATTCAAAAAGTATTATAAATCTACCAAACAACATCCTTCAAATGTTCACAAGAACTAAGTCTAACATCAGTATTTATATTTTTTTAGTTTTGTCTTGCATATAAGCTTGAGGGCTTTAAACTTCTGAAATTTAGTGCAAAACACCAAAAACTGGTATAGTGCCTCATGTTGTCATTAATTGTTTAGATATGAGCAACAGCTTTACCCAAAAAGATATTTTGCTTCAAAACATATTTTAGGATGTTTATATGTGTAAAATATCTTTTTGTGTAAAGCTGTTGCTCATACAGTCAAACCTGACTAAACAGTCACCTTGATCAGCGGTCACCTCTTTCTAAAGGTCACTTTCAGTTCAGACCTTCCGAAATATTTTTTTAACTCTTTTCAGTGGTCACCTGTCTAACACGGTCAGCAGTCACCTAATTTTCACAGGAAATCGTCATTACAACTTGTAAGAACGGTCATTTTCATGTTTTCATCAACCAAAATATAATCATGATAAAAAATACATGTGTTCATTAGTTCATTATTGAGGTCAAATTGAGATTCGGAACCGGTTTGCAACCAAGATCGCACAATAGGAAGTGAATATGTGAATGTCTTTTGTTCCCCCTGTCAGTTTCCATTGAAAACCGTATCACCGACCTATTTCTCCATGTATATGAACTATTTCGAATGTTTTCTTGAAATTAAGACCGACGGGATCTGCCATTTTTTGTTTATCTGATTGAAAACACTAAAACAACAAAAAGTTTATGCCATCACAGTGACATCACAAGTAACCTTTCTGGGTCCAGATATAATTAACCTGTTCATTAATCAATAATTTTAACATAATTTTGAATAGCTTGAATATTTTTTTTGCAATTCCAGGGGCCAAATAAGGGCTCTTATCATACCTCCTTCTTCATCAACTGTACAAATATTTTGTATGCTAATTTTGTTACATAAAATATATGCGAGATTTTTTTTTATGTGTATTGAAAAAAATTGGTCACAAATTAAAATATTGAAACAAGTAGTGTCCTCAATTATTGCATTATTATTTGTAGAGTACTGAATTCTGATGATTTCTATAGGTGAAAAAGCTATACTTTTAACTATACAACAAAATACAAATTCCATGTAGGCTTGTATGTGTGTCAAAGAGGTTTATCCACTGTATTGTATAGAAGTGTAACAAATGACCTCTTAGCCTTAACGTTGATGAAATGTCCTCAATGGTATCCACTTGAATGAATTTTACCAGAAACAAGCACAAAGCAATGCATTTTAAAACAGCCTTTTTTCCACTCTCAAAAACTATCACAGTGCGATTTCATTCCATTTGTTGAAATGACCATCAAAGATGATGTACATCTGATATACTTACACTTAAAAGTGTGAACTCATATTAAGATCTGATTAATAACAATGGGAAAGGATAAATTTGAAATGTCACCCCAAAGGTGATAACATGTTCTAAATTTTCACTGAATCTTCTAATACTGTGAGGTTGTTAGTTCAAACCCCTGCTAGTGGCAAGATGCTATCAACTCTTGATCTTAATTGACTAGGATTGCCAGTTAACTACCAAAAGTGTGGTTCTCTCAAGATACTCTAGCTTCCTCCTCTAATAATCACTGGTCCCAATGATATATCCAAGAAAGCTGAAGCCCGCCTCCCAGTGGGTTATTTTCGAGCTGAGTTGACAACCCTTTGATGGCCTTGGGCTGTTTTCTGCTCTTTGGTTGGGTTGTTGTCTCTTTGACACATTTCCAGTTTCCATTCTCTCTTCTATTGAAGTGGTATTAAGCACCAACAATCAATCTAATACAAAGTAAAGTTTCAGGTCTTCTATTTTCACAGTTTTCATTTTAGAAAGGTTTCAGTGATCAATGATGTTAAAAATACAAACAGAAATGTAAAATAAAATTTTATTTCACAATTTACAAACCAATCAAATTTTAATGTAATAACATTGGCACTTATGAGGCATACTATCGTATATACAAGATTTACAAAAAAAATCTGAAACAATAAAATTATTGATTGATGTCAACAAATTATGATGAGAATGCAATACCTGTTTCTCAATACTGTGAACATTGGGTATTACAATTAATGGTGTACATAATAAATCAAAACGTTTGTTGGACAATGTTTTAAGGATGCACTTAGGTCAGGTTTGGGAATTTTTGTCAGATGTTCGGACTCCTTGGTTTTTTTCCTATGATACAGGGTAAAATATTTTGCACACATTTTTCTTTTCATATAAGACTTCAATAGCTCATAAAAGGTCATTTACCAAAATTTAAGCAGATTCCAGATTTCTTTTCTTTCGATTAGAGACCCAAATAATACTAATGCAAATATAAGGTAAAAGTCCGAGTCTGTCTTTTCCTGCCATTTTTAAAAAATTAAATATCTCGAAAAGGAGCTCCACAACCTATCGATATTTTTACCTCATTTTGTTCCTTAACTAATGCTCTTCTGACTTATAGTATCAATTGTAAATTCTAGATTTTTTTAATTTCACCTAAGTACATCCTTAATGAACATTAACTGTCAAATTCATGTCCATCAATTTGACTCAAATTCTCATATTGGATTCATACCATACTAAAACATATAGCCAATTCACAAAAAGTACCATAAGAGACGTTTAACAATGAATGGACTTTTTATGTATCAAATTTTCATGCATTTTGTAGAATAAAAATTAAGGTCAAATTTTTTAAGCTTTAAAATCGAGACTTTCAATACGTCAGGTTTTCCATTGATTTTGGAGCACTCTTCTAGTTTTAGAACTATAAGGTACTACAGAGGAAAAAAAACTAATCTTCAACAGGCATGTAGAATTTATATTTATATTCAATGCACTTGTAAATATTTCTCTTGAAGATATGCCCCAATCCTATTGTGCCATGCCAAGTGTAGTCTTCTTTTATTGTAGCCATGTTAACAGTAATGAGAAACATATACAGTTCAAATGACCTTCAAATACTCGGTGAACAGATAATAAACGCTTTAACATGGAAAGATTTAACAATAATCAAACAAAAATTTATAAAAAATAAAACAAATACAATCCTCAAAATAACATGTTTGTTAAAAATACATATGCACTGAGCTTAAAAATGCTATTGAAAGTGAATTATCAGATTCAAGATTGATATAACTGATTGCGTTCTTGTTATCTCTTTCACATAGTACAACCAAGAAAGTTTTTCATTGTAAGTGATTGACAGGACCTTTAATTTGTAAATACTTAAGTCCTTGACCTTCCATTCCTTGGAGTAGTTTAAACAACTGACTTTTCACTTTCCAAAGGTGTATTAAATCTCTCTTGTTGGTGTAAAGTGATTCTTCACTGTGAAACTAGTAGCTATTGCTGGTGATAAGTGGTGATAACACTGATAAATGAACTTTCTCATATATCATTTTTTATTGAAAAGCCCTCTTAATGATTAAAATCATACACAGATCATCAGCCTTAACTGAAATTTCACAACAAAAAGTGATAATCATCTGAATACCTATGTCTATACTGTAATATCAAGTTTAATTAATTTTTTGTTGCAATCTAACCACACATAAGAGTGGCAGTAGATGTACTTGAATATATACCCTAAAGCTGTAATCAGAAAATTAACTTGCAATGATATTTTAAGACTCAGTGTATTATAATTGACCAACACACCTACATATGATTTTACATTTACATTGTATATAATTGTGTGGAATGATGATTCGTTTAACAATACTGAAAACTCTAATATTTTTTTTACTATCAAAATTTTCGCTTTATTCCTGTTAGTTTCTAAAGAAGTTAATAAAATTGATTGAAAGCTTTAGAAATACTACAAAATCAAAATGTCATTTTATTTTTCAAACATCTAGTGGTAAAGCTTTGTAATAAAAAGTACATCAGGGCTGTTCTAAAAAAGACACTGCTAACAAAAAACCCTTCAAATGGCCTCATGTAAATGTATGCATTTTAATCATATCTATTTAAATATACATTCAGACCTGCCAACTTTCATAATTTATGGGGAATTTCTCCAATGGAAGGTGTTGACCTGAATTTTGAAATTCTTTATTATATAAACTGAACACCTCAAAACAGGCATTCAAATGAGTTAAAAGGGTATTAAAGCACAATCCTACTCCTTTGAACAATATAGAAGTAGATTTAACACACTTATGACAATAGGAGAGGAGCATTAGGTCAACTTGTGCTTGAAATCCCCCATGGAGATTTTGAAAAGTTGGCAGGTATGTACATTGGTTTTTGATTCATTCAACAAATAATGTAACAAGCAACAAATAACTACAACTACTTTTAGTACATACACTGTATATGTATAATGTCATTGAATTACAGATGAAACATTGATAACTGAATCATAGTTAGTAGAAATCAGAAAACAATTAGTTCATGTGCATACAAATTTGAGCAGTAGGCATATCAAAATTCTTTAAAAAAAAATTTGATAAAATAAATTGCTTCGCCGGGCGCAGCTGGATACGACCGCAGAGGTCCAACCCTGAACAGTTGTGGCAAAAATGGACACAATATTCGCGCTTGATACAGGTCTGAATTTGGATTGTAATTAAATATTTGACACATAATAGGATTTTGACACAGAACTTTTTTTTTTGCTTTAGTGCAATACACTATGCTGTTGCGTATCGACCCCCCCCCCCCCCCCCCCCCCCCCTTTTCCAAAAAAAAAAAAATTCTTTCCCTCAAGATATGGTCATAATCTCAATTCAAATTACCAATGGAGTTTGCAACCATAATTACCCATTTAAATACATCATAAAAATCTTAAATAGATAATTTAAAAGCAGTGTAAGGGAGGTAATCCAACATTGTACAATTTTGTTTTTGGATTACCTCCCTTACACTGCTTTTAAATTGTCCTTTCACCAGGAAACCCTAGTTTTTCCCCCTTTTTTTCCCCTTATTCCTAAACGGTTTGAGCCATAACCCCCAAAGCCCATCCTAACCATCCCTTTGTGGTATGGAAACTTGTGGTATAATTTCAGAGAGATCCATACACTTAAACACAAGTTATTGTCTGGAAACTAGAAAAATGCCTTTTTGGGCCTCTTTTTGGCCCCTAATTCCTAAACTGTTAGGACCATAACCCCCAAAATCAATTCCAACCTTCCTTTTGTGGTATTGAACCTTACGGTAAAATTTCATAGAGATCCTTTAAACTAAAGTTATTGTGCGAAAACCAATGTGTCTTCGAACGATGACGCCGCCACCAACGTCATACCAATATACGACATAAAAAGCAGTTTATAAATTTTTCCTTAATTGTTCTTTCAGCAAAGCAAAGGTTTCTTAGAAGAATTACACTATCCCTGCATGTCTTGTAATGGTTAATTTTCTTTAAATAAAACTGAATCAATATCAAAAGTAATGAAACAAATTTGATAGAGTATATTTTTTGGCATAATATAAACTAGAAAAGTGAACAGAGGACACAAATTAACACCCTCTCTCTTAAAACTAATTTTACATATATAATAGAGCTGTGTTGATATGGATACTCCAAAAATCGTTTTATTTACTGTTTTAGTTGGAGACAAAAAGAACAAAGCCACTTTCCACCCCCTTTTTTCTCTAAGCAGGGTTATGTACTGAACAAATGAATAAAGACTTGCCAATTTATCTCCAACCATTTATAAAAGGGGGAGGATGAACAAATCTTTTTCATATACGAGACAAAAGCACATTAAAATAAATTTAAAACATAGTTTTAATATCTGCTGTCATGTTTATCATTAGGAATGGATTTAAGATATAATCTTACAGTTTTATAGGACTTCTATCAGGAATGTCTCAAAAGTGTTAGTACAATAACATGATTAAAGTGTTTGGGTTGTTTTATATGCTTTTGTATGGTAGTTGTGTAATTCTTCCAAAAAATTCTAACTTAAAGAGGAAATAAATTTTCATGTTCATGCAATATATATGGTCTCTGTTTCTGTGTCATGTATATCCAATTAATATCTTTTCACTTTTACTAAATTTGACATTTTTTAAAATCTTAATCACTTTTATAAGAGAGTCTAAAAATAAAAAAAAAAATATTGCTTTCTAACTGACATAGTTAAAAACTTCTTGAAGAAAATTGACTTTCATTCAGGGATTTTTTCCTTCATTATTTTGTACATAAATTAGGACGTTAGTTTTCTCGTTTGAATTGTTTTACATTGGTCATTTCGGGGCCTTTTATAGCTGACTATGCGGTATGGGCTTTACTCATTGTTGAAGGCCGTATGGTGACCTATAGTTGTTAATTTCTGTGTCATGTCTCTTGTGGAGAGTTGTCTCATTGACAATCATCATACCACATCGTCTTATTGTTATAGACAGTGTTTATGTCATAGTTAATTCTATCTTGTAATTGTACAACCACTTTTGATACAATTCCTTGCATTATATACACAAACTTAATCTAAGAGTAATAATTTCCAGGAAATATACATCCTTTTGTCAAATTCAATATTAAGAAATACAAAGTCAATGAACACACATTGGTTAAGTCTTTTGCCATGCAAATAATTCTCCCTTGTTCTAAATTTTGAACAAAATTTTACACAAGGGTAGCAGCCAAAATTTCCTGGTCCGACATGGGATAAACTTGAGGTGTTGCAAAGTTCCCGCCATAAATCACATGTGATGGTAATTCCGATAAGCCATATTTTGATGACAAATTAGAATGGGAAGTTCTATTTCGGTTACAATCCACGTAGTTCATACTGTCGAGAAAATCTAAGTTTTTGTATGGCAGTCCATTGTCTTCTCCAATCATCATATGCTTGTAACAATCTACATTCTCTTTATTATTTTGCCGCAAGCTGCCATTGAATTTTGTAACTGAACTTTCAGATTGGTTCCTCCCCCTGTTGAAAACCAATCTTTCCTCTGCACTGTGAGATTGGGGATTTACATCAACTTTTTGAAAATGAAGTCTTTCCTCTGCACTGTTTGATCTATGGATCCGACTGGGATAGTCGTAATTTAGTCTTTCATTGTAGCCATTTTCTGGGAGCTGTGGCGGTACATGGTCATAGTTTAAATGAATGTCATCGTTCAAGGTAACAGACTGACAATATTGACGTAAGTGTTCCGATTGATCCATCTGCATTTGACGAACATGATTTTGATTGTTTAGGTGAGTTAAATTCACAGTCTTGGCATTCATTTGAACACATCTTGGAGATTTTACAGAAGCAATATGATGATGTTTGTGATGAAGATGATTTAAATGATGAGAATCATGATTATGATGCTGGTGATTTTCCTGATTCTGATAATGATGATGATGATGAACATGATTTTGATTAACTTGTGATTGTTTAGTGTATAGTGATCCCTGATGACTTAATTCACTGGAAGAAGAAGCTGAAGCACTACTCTGGCTTTCATCACTGTCAGAAGATTGAGTGCCTGATTCAGTTGAATCCCGATTCGATTCTGGTCTTGATCCCCTTGAATCATTATTTGCGTCTGCTCTCGATTCTTTTGAATCATGATTTGACATAATTCTTGATTCAGATGAATCACAATTCAACTTAGTTCTCGAATCACACGAATCATGATTACATTGAGGCATTGATTCAGGAGAATCATGATTTTGCTGAGTAGTTAATTTAGGTGAATCACATTTCAACTTTGTCCCTGATCTAATTGAATCATGATTTGAATGCATATAATTTGGATGTTGATCAGATTCCTGTTCCAAATGTAATTTTGACAAGTCCATCTGATTTAATGATGTCACATGATCATAGTTTTGTAAAATATTCTCAAAATTCTGCTGACTTGTCAGAGAACTGTGCTGAGTCAGCATTCTATTGTTGTCATTAAACTTTCCATGAATAGATGGAATTTCTTCTGGAGTACTGATGATAGTGTAACCAGTGAATGGGACATGACTATATATATCGCTTGAGCATGAGCTATGACGACTGCTGCTTTGTGATGGCTTCCTAACAGATGGTTCACGACTTTGCGAAGATTTCCGTGAGGAAGGTTCACTACTTTGTGATGTTTTACGAACTGGAGGGTCAGTTACAAGTTCTAAATAGGTCGGTGTACCATTCGTCTGAGGATGTAGATAGTCAGCTGACGCGTCACATGGCTCAGGAGAATCAAATGATGTGGCACGATGGATAATTTTTCTGTATAATTGACTGTCACTCTGTAAAAGATATCAATTTGTATTCATTTATTGTAAAATAAAAATAAAGACACAGGTAGATATCTAAAAAAAATATAGGAAAAGGGCTTTCCTCTGTTGAATTGTTTCACACTTTCAACCTTATTAAAAGGTATGGGTTTCACTTCAGTTTGTTTACATCCTTTTCCTTAGGTTATTAGTTGACATTTATCTCACTGGTAATCATACCACATCACATATGAGTATGAGTTACCTAGAAAACAGAAAAGATATGCTAATCTTTATTTGGAAAAAGAACTTTCAAAGGGATACTCTAAACCACTTATTTTCAAAGATACTTTTTTCATTTTTAGTCCGTTATGTCAGATTTGGTGGCAATTTATTTTCATAATTTTCTAAATTTAATTTGTTGGTGTAGCCGTAGAAGAGAAAATTCAAGATTGACATATTATCAACAACTTATATTAGTGTTTTTTTTTCGTCTTGCGACAGTCACAAATGTATATCACTAAAAAAATTAAACTTGGTATAAGGTTACTTATATTGTCATGGTTACTTACATTGTCAAGGTTACTTATATTGTCATGGTTACTTACATTGTCATGGTTACTTACATTGTCAAGGTAACTATATTGTCAAGGTTACTTACATTGTCATGGTTACTTAATATTGTCATGGTTACTTACATTGTCATGTCCAAGTGATGAGGTCGCTCTCTGGTTTGTTTTGTTGTGGTGGTGGTGGTGGGGGTGGGGGAGGTGCTGGTTGTCTAGGTAACCATCCACTGAAATAAACAATTTAAAATGTCACACATGTTCACATTAACACTGCAAGAAGTGTCTAATTTCCATTTTGTTAAAAAAAACACCTTTTAATGAAAATCACAATAACAATATTTTCTTAGTTTAAGGTTGTATCCTCCAAACCAAATATTCCATATTTTAGATAAAGCAACATCATTATTTTCAAATTTTATAACGTCTTATGTTTCTTCTAACTCAGCAAATGCGTCAAGCTACCATGTATGCTAAATTTTAGAAAAGTCCTAACTAATCAGGATATCAGAATACAGACACACAGGTCAAATCCCCCACTATGTATAAAACTTTCTCCATTTCATCATATAATATTTTAAGCACTTGTAATTAATAATTTGACTTGAAGTATTGATTAGAAAACATCTCAAATATCAATAATTCATCTATAAAAGGATAAATTGGTTTTTGGTAAACCTTTTCTAAAAGAAATTTCCTGATCGGGAATTCTAGCTCTTTAGATGTTTGAATTTTCCTGATAATTCTGTTTTGGCTTTTTTTTAATGATATACCGGTATGCTTCCCATGTTTTTCAATCTCTGGTTTTTGGCTGTGATCATTTCAATAGTTTGTAATGCCTAAGAATTAGATTGATTGATTGTTGGTTGCTTAATGTCCAGTGGCAAATATTTCATGCATGTTCAGAACGATCTTAGAATAAGAAGTGGATGTTATCCAATCTGCTACTTTATTATTGGTTATGACTAGTTAACAGATATTTAGATCAGTAGAAAGGCATGTGTCACTGATAGAACCAAAAAATGATGTTTCTTACAGATCATCCAAGTTCAACTTTTTGTTTTCTTTCATAAGAATGTCATTTTTTTATTTATCTTCTCTTTTGAAATTTTTTTTCTGACTTGTGATTTTGAACCTTTGTACTTTTTTTCTAATGTTTGATTATTACGAAAGCAGCAGAAATTTTAGAATGCAATTTTTGAATGGCAAGATATGAGAACTATATGCTTAAAAATGATATGTATTAAAAGTTTAATGAAAACATACAAAATTAACGTCAAACAACATCAAAATATGAAATTAGTAAAAATGAAACAATTACGTTTACTGAGTTCGTAGAATGTGGAATTCTAAAATCCCTCTTTCTTGTCAATTTATTATACGAGGACGGTATCACACCAATGCAACATTTACAATAGATATGCATTTTTTGCAAATTTTCTCCAATTGAAACAACAAAATTACAACAAATATATATACCATATAACTATAATGTCAGAAGATACAAAATTTATATCATTGAGCATAAGAAACGGGAAGAAAATAAAGGTTCACTGAGCTTTACTCTAATGGTTCATAATCAGTACAAATAAACTTGATATCTTCTGACAATGTAATTATATTATCCTGCAATTAATCAATAATGCCTAAAAAAGTTCTGAAAAAATAGAATTGTACATGGACGGCAGACAACTATAAAGTGTAATTTTGATATTAAAGGTTTTAATTAATAATAGAAGCCGAAGTCCAGTACAATATTATACACATTTATAACTACATCTGTATTTGTATTTAAGAAAGGTTTATTGCAGGATAATAAATTAAAAGCACATACACAATACAAAATTTAACAGAATAATCAAATGAATTTTTAGCAGATGTCAGAAATGAATTTACAAAGCAGAACACAAAAATCAAAGATCGTAAATAACACGGTAATAGATGATATTAAATAAGGTTAAAATATGAACACAAAATGGCCACACATGAAATTTTAAAAAATTAAACTCAATTAAACAACATGGCCACACACAGGATACCTTTCGTCACGATTGACTTTGTTTACAGATGAGGGATGAACATCTTGGCGATTGCGCCAACTATTTCTAGATCGTCCAGCACCTCAAACAAAAAACATTCAATATCTCAATTTTTGCAAAAAAAAAATTAAACCTTTGATGATCTTCATGGTCTTTGAAATTAAATTTGGATTCTTTAAATGCTGGTTTGCTTTAAAATATTCAAAAAATATTATTTAAGTTACTGAAAAAAAAATAAATGGAATAAACAAGCAATTATTTAAATCGGGAATAATTTTTAATTCTCCAAAATTGATAATATATGATGAAAACTAACCTAATTTAGGAGGGTTATCCATGCATGCATGGCTAAGGGGGCTTAGTCAGTTCATACTAAAATATCAGTGGAAGTAAAATCTACCTAAGCAATGCGCACATGGCTAACCCTCTTTAGTTAGGTTAGTTTTCATCATACATTTCTTATCAATTTTCCAGAATTCAAAAATTATTCCAGATTCAAATAGTTCCTTGTTCATACAAATTATCGACACAAAATCAGTAAGCTCATCTGAGAAAAACCTATAAGTAAGGAACCACACTTTTATTGCATCGAAATTCTTTGCTAGATAGTGATCATCCAACATTTGTGCATTGCAGAACACAAGTCCTGGGTAATATCACCCAGAATGCACGTGTTGTCACACTTAGCATACCTTCACTCGTAATTCAAAGTATAGGAAAACAGGAAGAAGGTGTCTCAGATAGATACAAAAGTACACACATATTACAACTCTTCACTACTGAGCTGCTGACGAAAAATGAAGCCATTCTGTTTGAGTATTTTCTACCAAAAATTTAAGTTCATTCAAAATATTGAAAAATTTAAAGTATGAGGAAACGGGAATCAAGTATCTGCACACACTTTTCAACTTGTCACTATTGAATTGCTGACCAAATTTGTTCTGTTGAGTAGTTTCTGAGAAAAGTGTGACACAAAAAAAATAAAGTCCATTCAACATATTGAAAACTTCAATGTATCGACAAACAGGAAGTAGGTATCTGACTGGTCCAAAAAGACCCCACACATTACAACTTTTCACTGTTGAGCTGCTGACCAAATATGAAGTCATTCTATGCAGTATTTGCAAAGAAAAGTTTGATAAAAAAATTACCATCCACAGGCCTGGTCCTAACAGACATTATATAATAAGCATTTAGATTTAGAATTTATGAAAGGTCCCATTTATAAATGTATCTATAATAAATCTTATAATCATCAAAAGGCCTGGTCTTAAAAAGCATCATATAATAAATATCTATCCCAAGAATTCATGCCCTATTATAAATGTATTTAATTTAATTACCATCAACAGGCCTGGTCCTAACAGGCATTATGTAGTCAGCTAACAATGTGACACATTTCTCAAGGAACTGTTCTAACTGTTGTAAGATGTAGGTAAAGTCAGGTCTATCTTCTGGGCTGTAACTCCAACAACTTTTCATGAGGACAAATCTACAATATATACAAAACACAAAAATTATAAAAATTAGGTCTATCTTTCGACCATATACATGTAGGTATGACTATAAAAATAAGGAGATGTGATATGATTGCCAATGAGACAATTATCCACCAAAGTTCAAATAAAGTGGATGTAAGCAATTATAGACAACCAAACGGCCTTCAACAATGAGAAAAACCCATGCCGTATAGTCTGCTATAAATGGCCCTGACATGAAAAATATTAAACAATTCAATTGAGAAAACAATCGGCCTAATTTATAAAATAAAACAATTTACGAAAAAAACAAATATGACTGACATGAACCAACAACAACCACTGAACTACCGGTACAGGCTCCTGACTTGGGACAGGCACATAAAGAATGTGGCGGTGTTAAACATGATTGTGAGCGCTCAACCCTCCCCTAACCTGGGACAGTGGTGTAACAGTACAACATAAGAACAAACTATAATCAAAGCATCGTCGATGTTGTGATCCAGCCATATTTTTAGCTAGTCTGGTATTCTTTCTGACCATACGTTTTTCAATATTTTTTTCTTTTCATTTCCAATCTTGCTGTAAAATTTTTATGTTATTGTCCAAAGGTAGGAATTTCGCAATATTGATGCAAATATTGATATATATATATTGATATTTCAATTTTAGACTCTGTCAGATTTTTTTTTTACAAGAATGGAAAGGGAAATCGTCAAATAAGTAATATATTTTTTTATATGCCATTAATTATAACTGGCTTAATAATTTCCAGAAACAGGCCTTAGAAATGCTCTTTCTCAACAACAAAAATTATTTTTTATCTAAATTGGTGTTCATTCTACATTAAAAAAAAATACATTTCCTGTATTCAAATTTTAATGTACAAATACCTAAGCTGAGATATCTCCACATACTGTTAAATAGCAATATAATGCAATTTTGTATATTATTTCATCAAAATTTCTGATAATCATGATAATTGTAAATAATTATTTAGAACTTGATTATTGACTTAAGTCAGATGATAATGACACTGATTTTACAAGTGAAATAAAATTTGCTTGCATTTGTTATTCTTTTTTTTTTCTTTAATTTATTGTCTTTTCTTTGAAAAAAAACATATCTGATTAATCATTCAGCTAACTAGCAAAATTAACAGAATATTTTAGTGTAGTGTAGATTAAAATAAATAATACATTTGTAGGTTTACTATTGAGGTCAAGAATGTGTGTATTCAGTTAGGTGTGTAATAAATTCAATTATGTAACAGGTCATGAGATATTAACTGTGGTCAATTTAATAAGCCTGGGATTGTTTCCAATTAATACTTACACCTTTGATAGTAATTATTTGAAAAGCTTGACAGTTGATAATCATACTGACTCTTACTTGCCTATGGAAAGAATTGGAGTAATACCATTTAAAAAAAGTGTGGGAATCAACTTAGATATATCAATACACATGTTGACCTACATTTCACTGAACAATAATTTACACAAGCATAAGATACTAATATAATACTTTCAAAATTATTATCAACTGATTCAATTGACGTACAAATACCTTTTTCAAATTAATTCATGAATAGTAAATCATTATAAATTTTGATTTACAAAGGAACGAACTATTTGCAAGTGAATATCTAAAATAAAAGGGTTGTTCGACCACTCTTTTCTTAATTTAAGGGCAAACAACATGTCAAAAGTTGGCAGTTGATGATTAAAATGGTGTAGAAAGTTTCTGCAAGTCATAAAAACACATAATTAGTTTCATGATATGTCTTCAACTTAGTATTCTGCACCATCTCTAAAACCAGAGTGATCGCATAGATCCAGCATGGCTGAATCAAAATTAGTCGAAAAAGGCTTAACTCATCAGATAGATACAAAGAAAAACATTAAACAAAAGCACAGTCTGGTCGCTTTTCTGGGCTGTAACTCCAATAACTTTTCATAAGGGCACATCCTTATTATAGAAACTATATATTAAATGTAAAATCTGTTCCCTCATTGGATTCTTAGGACCATATACATTTAAATATTTTAAAAGTTAGATATCTTTTAGTATGCTTTGAATTGGAAAAATATGGTTAAAAGTATATGTGAATTTTTGTCTCTTTGCTGGGTGATGAACTAAGAAAATACGACACCTGTTAAGGTAGAAAGATGATTATCCGATCATATTTACTGAGGATAAAGCTAGAGGTGAATATGAATTTCAGACTTATACATATTTTTATTCAGAAACTTACAATTCCTCTGGACAATTTTCTGGTTGTTCCAGCTGACCACCAGATCTGACATAATGTAAAACTTCAATGTTCGTCCTAGCTTGATATGGCTGCTGGCCAAATGTTAGGACTTCCCACATCATTACCCCAAAGGCCCTGAAATACAACATTTTTATTTGACACTTTGATATTTATTTTACTGCTTTATTCAAGACTGTCAATATGTTTCAACATGTCTATTTATCTATTAAGCTGAATCAACTCCTCGAATTATATTTTCATGGAATAGGATTAGCAATATGTTCTATAATAATTATGAAGTTTAGATATCTTTAGTAATCTATTATTTGAATACTGTACATATAAACCAGCTATATCAGGCCTAAATTAATATATTGTTTGTCAGTAAAATTTTATGAGTCGGACCCGTTTTTGCAGGGTCGGTAGGGATTGGGGAAACAAACAATATTTTATTTTAGACCTCAGTCTTACTATTCAGTGAACAAACACATTTATAAACAGCAACGAATCTTGACGTTAGTTTTTGGTCTCAGCCAACATTACTGCACACACTGCAGTGATAAAACTATATTTCAAATTATCCACAAAATCAACTGAAAATTTACTGATCCCAAAGAATGTTTTTCTCTTTATTTTTGAATTTCAAAAGTGCAAAAACTGTTTTTTAAGCTATAGGTACCATATATCTGACTGTGTAGTAAATATTCCATCTACCAAGGATTCCGGCGACATCCATCTAACAGGAAGTAATCCTTCGCCTTCTTTACGATAATAATCACTTTTATAAATATCTCTGGCTAAACCAAAGTCTCCTATTTTGACAACTATTTCTGATGGAACCTTAGATGAGACAAGACAGTTTCTAGCCGCTAAATCTCTGGAAAGGAAATCAATGATAATTAAGGGCTATTTAATTATAATGAATGTGGGAGGGTATGAAGGGAAATACAATGTTTTGACATGGGTTAGGAGTCATTTATGGTGTTCTGTCCAATTGAGGTTGTGGGGGTTTTGGAAATACCTGTCTACCCTACTACATCTATTTTATTGGAATAGTCCTAAAAGTAATGTATACTCATATATTTTCACAGATACCATTTTTTTTTTTGGATTGAGGAGGGAAATTATATTTTTGTTGATACTTCTGCCATTACGTTAAAATATCTTCTTGATTTTTCAAACTTTCTTGAAACATTCATAAAAGAGAAGATCCAAGGTTTTTTTTTACGGCTCAAGAAAATTACATAAATAGATTGCTCTGACCCTAAAATAAGGAGGTTAACAGGTTGCTATAGTGATTAGCAAACAAAACTTTCAGCCCTTAGATATTTTTATTAAGACATGTCGGATTATCGATTTATAAGGATAAATTCTGGATACTGTATATCAAAATTCATCCATAATTAAGTGATGTTTAGCAGGTCATAATTTTTCCTATCTTCATTTTCAAATGCTCTTTTCCTAAATATCTATCACTTACCTATGAACAAAATGCTCTCGTTCTAAATATTTACAGCCCCTAGCAACATGAACACAAATCTTCACTAAATCTGTTAAACATAAACTGGAAGAATTTGTCTGAAATTGGAAAAACAAAACATCTTCGGTTTAGACCAAGTTCATATTATGTCTGGCAACATTAAAATATTAACATCTGCAGCATGCAGTAAGTAAACTCTTCATAAATTGCATAAATTAAAGTTCTATCAGGCAATGAATAAATAGCTATACTAGAACAACTCAACCAAGAATTCAACTATAAAAAAAAAATTAATTAAGAATACCTTGTTTTGTCAATATATTATTTTTCAATTTGTTTTCATGCACAGTCATCCACAATGTCTTGACAACATCTAAACAGCTTTTTATTTTACCTGGAAATCACAGTACTTCATATTGCAAACCATTTAATTATAAAGAGTAAAGAAAGTAGGATATGAACTCACCGACATCCCTCTACATGTTCGTAAATAAGACAACAGGTCGCCACCTTCCATTAATTCTAGAATAATGAACTGTGGATCATTATCAAGGCAGACACCAAGTAAACTCAGGATGTGATCATGTTTAAAATTACTCATCAATACCGCCTCTTTCAGGAACTCTTCTTTTTCATGGTCTGATGCACTCTTTCTCAAAGTCTACAAAAGTATTATAATCTTCTATATAAATTTCATACAAAAATACATGTATTGGTCATGACATTAACAAAGATTAAGGTTCATTCCCTAATAGTCTTTAAAAATTTAAACATTAGTACAAAAAGTATAAATTTGTATCCATCATTAGAGTTCTAACGTCTACATCATTCTATTCTGGGCTCTTTTTTAGGAAATTCCTTATGAAGTTAATGAACATTAATCGACAAAAGACAGGAGTCTATACTGTATGTCAATGTTACGACACCCTACATAAAAAGAATTTCATTAATGTAAATTCTTTCAAAAATTATAGCATGCATTTACCCTGTCACATATATCATATTAATAAATCATTGCAAAAAAATCACAGATTTTACAGCAAGTATTACAAACCTTCACTGCAGCTTTTGTTTCTCCAGAACTATCACTTAAGATATTCTTTGCCACCCCTTCAAAGACTTCACCAAATGCACCACTTCCTAGGAATTTTGTCAGCATCAACTGGTCCCGTCGGAAGTGAGGCAGTTTGGCAATATCACTGTCAGTAGGTACAATACTGAAAAAATATGAAATTTCACAATCAAAGTAAAATCACAATCTCTTACTACTTCAAATTTGAAAGTAGTCCATGCATATCATACACAAATAGGATTATTAAGCATCAAAAATATTCAGATTGCTTGTAAGCACCGAAAGGTAAAGATTGCTTTCATTTTGCAATGTGAACTTTAAGATTATACATTGCATTGCATTTAGCGATGTAACCCATTAAAGCAATACTTTCAATTGGAGTTATCTTTCTAAGTCCATAATTTTAATTGGCATTTTTTTAGAACAGATATATACTAGTATGGTATTACACAATACATATCATTTTCTAAACTTGAATACTTTTTACACATAATGACTTAGATGGAGAGTTGTCTCATTGGCACTCACATACCACATCTTCTTATTTATATTGAATATCTCAGATTATATCATTTACTGTAAATTCAGAAATTATTGCGATGTTTTTATCATCTCGAATAATGCGACTGAGTGAGTATCGCAATAATAAGAACTCGCATTCTAATATCTGATACATATATCTTCATCCAAATTTTTCAGAAATCGCAATAATTAATCTCGCATTTTTGTCCATTCTTCAAGTATCTCAATAATAAATGCACGCAATAATTTCTGAATCTACAGTATATATTGTTTGACGTGGATAGGACACAAAGAATGTTCCCCTAACTTTGACGTGGATAGGACACAAAGAATGTTCCCCTAACTTTGACGTGGATAGGACACAAAGAATGTTCCCCTAACTCTGATGTGGATAGGACACAAAGAATGTTCCCCTAACTTTGATGTGGATAGGACACAAAGAATGTTCCCCTAACTCTGACGTGGATAGGACACAAAGAATGTTCCCCTAACTCTGATGTGGATAGGACACAAAGAATGTTCCCCTAACTCTGATGTGGATAGGACACAAAGAATGTTCCCCTAACTTTGACGTGGATAGGAAACAAAGAATTTTCCCCTAACTTTGACGTGGATAGGACACAAAGAATGTTCCCCTAACTCTGACGTGGATAGGAAACAAAGAATGTTCCCCTAACTCTGACGTGGATAGGACACAAAGAATGTTCCCCTAACTTTGACGTGGATAGGACACAAAGAATGTTCCCCTAACTTTGACTTGGATAAGACACAAAGAATGTTACCCTAACTTTGACGTGGATAGGACACAAAGAATGTTCCCCTAACTTTGACTTGGATAAGACACAAAGAATGTTCCCCTAACTTTGACATGGATAAGACACAAAGAATGTTCCGCTAACTTTGACGTGGATAGGACACAAAGAATGTTCCCCTAACTTTGACGTGGATAGGACACAAAGAATGTTCCCCTAACTTTGACTTGGATAAGACACAAAGAATGTTCCCCTAACTTTGACGTGGATAGGACACAAAGAATGTTCCCCTAACTTTGACGTGGATAGGACACAAAGAATGTTCCCCTAACTTTGACGTGGATAGGACACAAAGAATGTTCCCCTAACTTTGACGTGGATAGGACACAAAGAATGTTCCCCTAACTTTGACGAGGATAGGACACAAAGAATGTTCCCCTAACTTTGACTTGGATAGGACACAAAGAATGTTCCCCTAACTTTGACGTGGATAAGACACAAAGAATGTTCCCCTAACTTTGACGTGGATAGGACACAAAGAATGTTCCCCTAACTTTGACGTGGATAGGACACAAAGAATGTTCCCCTCACTACAATATGTAGTTAGTCCTCTCAAATGTAGTGATAAGGTATGGAAAATAGGGTTATATGACTGCATTGCATGCAATCTTTACCTCAAAAAAAGGTAATACTGAATGTGTATGTGAAACCCCTCCCTAATCAAATGTGTATGTAAAATCCCTCACTAACCAAATGTGTATGTTAAACCCCTCCCTAACCAAATGTGTATGTGAAACTCCTCCCTAACCAAATGTGTATGTGAAACCCCTCCCTAACAAAATGTGTATGTGAAACCCCTCCCTAACCAAATGTGTATGTGAAACCCCTCACTAACCAAATGTATGTGAAACCCCTCCCTAACCAAATGTATGTGAAACACCTCCCTAACCAAATGTATGTGAAACCCCTCCCTAACCAAATGTGCAATTGACAGTCTACAATACTTAATACAGAATACAGGAGGGGGGTTCAAAGAGGGTGGTAAAGGGTTATTTTCGTGCAACGTGTTTTGCCATTTTTATTTCACGTGCAGCCGTGAAAAAGGTATGTTATTCACCGTGTTTAGTGAAATCGGTAAAAAGATCAACGTGCAAGACATTTTTAATTGTTCGTTCATCATGAAATGGCAATTTCATTTCGCGTTCTTCCGTGCAGATACCCCCCCTTTACACCCTTCTTCAAAATACAATAAGAAGGGAGTAAATCAACATTTGACACGGGGTAAATGATATACAAAATGTGACAGAATGAAAATTAAAAACTTCAGACTATCAGATCTCAGCCTTCTTTAGGAGCATAACTATTAATTACTGATTCATTTTTTTTATCAGTTATTAAAGCTTGTAAAAAAATAACGTCAGTCACTTGTTATTATAATTCATGATGAAACCTTGTATTCCAATGATTCACAACTTCAACAACAACAAATTGAAAACCAAAACAATTTGTGAATTTTCTATTTAAACTCTACTTTTATTTGTATTTTTAGAAAGAAATAACATACTTGATAGCATATAAAGTATTACTCTCAGGAGCTGTGTGCAGTGGGAGCTCTCTCAGAATAGCAAGCTCATGGTCTGGTCCTCGCACTATGAATTCTTTTGGTTTCCTATTTTTTCTATTTCTTTTTCGCATTACTGCAATGACAAACAATACACTGTAACATTTAATACATATGCTAAAATTTGAAAGGTGCTGATTGGGGTTCAATTAAGAAAGATTATATTAACTTGATACTGTGTGCTCAAGAAAACAATTTAATACAGGTTAATTTCTGAGCATGATTTGTCACAAGGAACTGACAAAAAAACGTTTACAGTAATTTTAAAAACTAAAATCTGGCAGGAATTCTACGTAATCAAAACTCACCATAACATATAACAAACAATAGTACCACGAGGAATACAAACACAAACGACAGAGAAATGACAACAATGGCTACCGTGTCATCTGCTGCCGTAACAACATCTGCAAAATATAAAAGTAAAGTTATATAAGAACAATAGGTAAAAGTTATTATCACCACTAATAAAACTATAACAATGAAGACATTTGGCCATGGTATTATACACAAATGATATAACATTAATTAAATGCATCTACCATGTATTAACATTACAATAAATGTGTCAATAGGACACCATGTCTTGCTTGCACGGTCATTTTCCTTGTTTAATGACCACAGACATCAATCTGCAGATTATCACTTCAATTTGTCTGTTGCAACCAGGTTGTTCATTCCAAGTTCTTCTGCTTCCTCCACCATAATAACAGACTTCATAGTGTCCTAATACTCACTTGGTGTTCGGTTGGGGATTGTCCTTGACCCATTATCAAGGACCAAAACCAACCCTTCACCAAGGACAATGCCCAGCCCAACACCAGGAAAGGACAATCTCAAACCCAACCCATCTATATAGCTGTGTTACCTCTATATGTAAAAGCTGTACTGTTATTACTGAATGGTCCAAGTCCATTAGCATTCTCAGCAGCTACACGGAAGAAGTATTCTTTACCACTGGTTAAAACTCCATCATCAATTACCCAACGAGCTTCAGTTCCATTATATACTTCAGTCCATATCTGGTAGTCTGTACTCCTGGAAAAAAAAATGTGCATGTACTTTATCATTGGAAATTCATTCAAATGCCAACTTTATTAAAATTTCAATTAGTGGGTCAATGTCTGAAGGATTACCAGTATTTGGAAAATACTGTACATGAAAAATGTTTGCAATGTCTTTATTATTGCTACGGGATATGTTTCACACAAATAATGGCTGACATTGTGAATTTCAATAGAATTATGTTAATGTAGTATTTCCTGAAATGGCAAATAATTAATCTCACATTTGCGTCAATTGTACAACAATGCCAATAATAAATGCATGTAATAATTTCTGAATTTACAGTTAATAGTGATCTTACCTAAAAAGATCCCTTGTAATGTATACCATCTTCTATGAAGACCATTCAGATCTCTTCATCACAAATGCTTATCTATACTTGTGTGTAATGTAATGGTTGATAACATCTTCACTATCATCAGAGCTCTAGATCATAAAATTTACTCAGTACTTGGAGTTCAAATAGTGTGCTCGAAAATCCAAATCCAAGCCTTGCAGTCATAAAAATTTTGAGTACCATTTTTCGTACTCAGACTCAGAATTCAACTTATCAAAATATTGGATTTGATGTTTTGTACTCAAGACTACTGAGTAAAATGTAATAACCGAGAACCCAGTATTTTGGTTGGATAATTTAAACCTGCCAATATTTCAAAATCTCCTTGAGGGATTTTAAGTGCAAGAAGACATAATACTCCTTTTATATTGTCATAAGTGTTTTTAATCTATTTCTATATTGTTTGAATGAGTATGTATGTGTTTAAATACCATTTTAACTCATTTGAATGCATGATTTTGAGATGTTCAGTTCAGTTTATACAATAAAGAATTTCAAAATTCAGGTCAACACCTATCTTCAGGGAAATCTCTCCATAAATCGAGAAGGTTAGCAGGTCTGTTAATTCTGAGTCTGATTTGAATAACCCTACTGGAAAGTTTGATTCCCGCAAGATCAAGTTTTTAGTATGATTATCGTACTCAGACTCAGCATTCAACCAATCAAGATACTGGATTTGGAGTATTGAGCATAAATTTTGTACTTCGAGTACTGAGTAAAGTTTTATGACCAAGAGCCCAGGAATGAACTTCACTTCACATCCTTCATTGCTTTACCTTAAAACGAACACTCAACAGAACTCCATAAGGAGTATACTCACCAATAACTTAAATTCAACACTCAATAGAACTCCATAAGGAGTATACTCACCAATACTGCAGTATATAATGGAGGATTGCGGCACCATTGTCATTAGGTTCTGACCATTTAACCTCATACCCTTGACTCGACAAGGATTCTATAATTGGTGGATCTGGGGCACTGGGAATGCTTGCTATAAAAGAGAAAAAGATTATAATACTACAGTAAATTCAGAAATTATTGCAAGATTTTTATAAATGCATGCGCAAATAATGTGACTGGGTGACCATGAGTTTCGCAATAATAAGAACTATATATCTGTTTGCAGATTATCCTGAAATCGCAATAATTAATCTCATATTTCTGTCCATTCTTGGATAATCACAATAATAAATGCACCAAATAATTTCTGAATCTAAAATTCATGGATGCAAAAAAAGAGACAGACAATGGCCAATATATTTGTCCACTATGGACAAAACACGAACAATTGATTCTCATAGCCAGGATGTAAAACACTACATAGAATGTGTCCATAGTACACAGATGCCCCACTCGCACTATAATTTTCTATGTTCAGTGGACCCTGAAATTGGGGTCTAAACTCTAATTTGGCATTAAAATTAGAAAGATCATATCATAGGGAACATGTGTACTAAGTTTCAAGTTGATTGGACTTCAACTTCAGCAAAAAACTACCTTGACCAAAAACTTTAACCTGACTTGACCAAAACTTTAACCTGAAGCGGGACAGACGGACGAACGAACGGACACACAGATCAGAAAACATAATGCCCCCTCCTACTATCGTAGGTGGGGCATAAAAATTGGGTCAAAGGTATTTTCCTTTAGAAATGAACAGCGTCTCCTGAGGAACAAACCAATGTCTTGTAGGCACTGAAATTCACTACTTTATATATTGAAGCAAATGAAATGTTCCAACATTATTTCACTAAAAATAGCTGTTCATATAAGTCAATGACCCCATAACGCATGTAAATGACTTCAAACAGTTGCTTGGCATAGTATCCTCTTCCGCAATTACTGTTGATTCATCATTATTTATTGGATACTGATTGTCATGGAATTCTTGTGTATATGTGAACCACGAACTTAAGTGTTAAACATAATACCATACATATCCTGTGTCCATGCTTTCCAAACTTACACTGTGCCAGGTCCTTTATATTAACTACACTCCCCTCCCTAAACTTACCCTGTGTCATGAACTTAATTTATCTCGAACAGCTCATTCATACATATCAGTCGTGCCTTCATACAAACCACACTCCCGTCCCCATACTTAATGTTGGAAATCACACACAGAAGAATATGTTACCATAATGCCTTATTATTGTATCTTAGGTTGTATACTTGTGATGTTATCTTGTACTTTGGTCATCAATACAAATTAATACAGTTTAGATGTCTTTATTTCTATACATGCAGTTTTAGTAAAAGCACTTTACGATACTTACACTGTGTCCTGAACATAAATCTATCTCCACCGGTCCAATACATTTTAGTGACAGTCCCTTTGTACAAAAGGACCATACGGAAACAGTAATCAGTAGAGGGTTCTAGGTCTGTGAATGTTTTATTGTATGTCTGATTGGATGAAGTGTAATAAGGTAAATCACCCATATTGTTCCAATTAGCCTCATCTGCATAAGGACACTGAAAAAAATAAAAATGTTCAAAGATGTTGACATTTAAATATTTGGTTTGTTAGACTGTTGTTCCTGTCTAATTATATCAAAACTTTATGTAAATGATGTTTCAGAGTTGTAGTCATTATGCAAATTATGATGTTTATAAAATTACTGTATGGTAATTTAAATTTCTGCATTGTAAGCATTCTTATTTATTTAACATAAAATTAAATTACTGTGGATTCATTCACTTTTGTGGGTATCATTTTTTCTTGGATTGAGGAAAACTTTATTTTCATGGATATTTGATTTCTTTGGTTTTCCCGAAGTCTGTAAACAAGCCCATAGGAAAATTGTATGTAGCTGAACATTTAAAGTCATGTTTTACCAGTACCTAATAAACCAACGAAAATGTGTATCCCACAAGGAATAATGAATCAACACCAGTTGAAACATGTTCATTTTTGTTCAATTGGCCATTTCAGAATCTAAAGGACTATGGGTAATTTTATTGTCCGTACCCCATTGTTTAGGACGCTTTGTTGTACACTTTTGAAAAAATTACCCAGAATGCATTAGACTCTAAAATGGCAAATTGATTCCTTGATTGATGACTAACCTTTATGTACTGAAACTTGGCTATTTCCACACTTCCATCAGAGGGTGATGTCCAACTTAAGGTTAAATTATGTCTTGCAGACGACAGTAGAGTTATGTCCCTTGGTAGTTCAAATGTTCTTATGGTTTTGGGATCACTTGTATTGAAAATCTTCTGTTCGGAGTTGGCAGTCTTTACCTGAAAGTTGATTCCTAGAGATTGAAAAACTTCAAAAAGACAAATGTTACAGTGAGATCTCATCTATCTTCAAAATTAACTTTTACATTCCCTTATCTATACAGTAGCCTATAATAAAAGCCTGGTATCTTTGATGAATTTTTACTATAGATGATACTGTAAATTAAGAAATTATTGCGATGTTTTTATTATTGCGAAAAATGCGATAGGGTTATAATCGCAATAATTTAAACTCGCATTTTAAAATTTTTTATATTAATTAAACAGGATTTTTCTCAATATCGCAATTTTAATCTAAAATGACAAAATCGCAATAATAAATGCACGCAATAATTTCTGAATTTACAGTAGTTACAATTTTAGAAATTTTTACTGTTTCTTCGAGGAGCTAAAATTCCATGGCTTAATAAATAGCAAAGCAAAGTTATCTTTTTTCAAGGTTGACTTTTAAGTCGATGCTAAGAGAATGAACATTTTCACATTGAAACATTTCATGAACAGTATTCTTAAGCTTTATATCAAAACAAAAAGTAAACAAACGAATATGTATATTTATCAAATTATTTGGTTGTATGCATTGAATGGATGACCTCTAAATGCTGTTTAGTTATTTGTGTCCTTGACCTCTAACTGACATGTACCCAACATCTCAGTTTATTTTTTATTATAATTTACCTCAATAGTGTAATCTTGATTTGGCAGTAAGTTTGATATAATGTGCTCATAGACATTCTGATCATGTGATACATTGACGTCTACTTCTGCCCTCAAGAATCCTTTGCCTTTCGGCGTTGACCAGTGTATGGCGTAGACCAAATCTTCTGGAGGACCGTTTGAGACAGTGGGTCTAGACCATTTCACATTAATCTGTTCCGGAGATGTTCCAATCAAAGATTCTATTGTCGCTTTGTAAGGCACTGGAATAAAAATGATAACAATACTGCTTAAATGCTAAAATGAGGTCTGAGGGAATTATATCATTTTAAGATTACCAGGTGATTCGATTCTAATATACTACACAATTATTCCATTCAAAAACATAAGTGTTTGCATGCAAAATCTGCAAAGGTTATCACAAAGGAGACTAACTTTTTTTGTTTTTGTGATTATAACAGTGTAAGCGTATTTTCATTCCGCCGTGTATTTATTCCGGGTAACTGTTTTTCACTAGAGAATATTGGATGTAAATAGTGTGAAAGCGTCGATCTTGATATCGTTGTTTTGTTTATATTATACCGGTTTATTGTTTACATAAATGGGTTAAAATTAAAAGGATTTTCAAGGAACCAGTTTAATTAATCTGAGTCAATCTAGTAAATAATATTGATGATAATGAGGAGGATGTTTTTATAACTCAAAATACTTTATCAATGATCAGGACATTGAACATGATATAAACCAAATTTAAAGAGCAGATTTGTTCTTACATAAAGTTGACATAGAAGATATGATTTTATATCCAAGCAAATACACAGAAAAACTTCGGCAATCCAGTAAAAATAAATATTTTTCAATAAGTGACAATTTAAAAGCATATGATTTGATAGATTTGCATAGAAAAATTATTTAAATCTTATTCGTTAATAAGCATTATTGTGTTTATATCGTGCCTTCAAAATGAGTACTAATCACTTCATCAATGTATGGATCTAAAGCACTGGTGTAATTAATCCCGGTATAAAATAACTAGTGCAATCATTCCGGTACAAAATCACTAGTGTAATCATTCATTGTTTAAAAACACTAGTGTGTACATTCCTTGGATGAAAACTCTCCACTTTTTACATAAATCAACTATGCAAGTTTCAAATACACTAAAAACTATAAAGCCACATTTTATATATATTTCCCCTTCAAAAAACCCATTTTAGAACCTTATAATGACTGGTGGATGTTTTACACTGGACCCAGATAGAAAAACCTAGTGAATTTTCGTTGGTGGATAAAAATCACTGGGGATTTTCTTCCGCCAGATAAAGTACACTGGCGGAATCAAACAACTGTTACACAATTACAGCAACAAATAGAGATTGTGTCATTACAAAGTTACCCTAATGTGCGACCTTTAAGTTACTCTAATGTGCGACCTTTAAAATAACAGTGCATACAAATTTAAAGGGGAAAACAAAACAAGTATTAAATGTGAAAAAAGACACAATCTGCATTGTAAAATATGGTTATAAAAATAAGAAGATGTGGTACGATTGCCAATGTGAAAACTCTCAAACAAAGACCAAATGACATAGTAGTTAACAACTATAGGTCACGATACGGCCTTCAAAAATGAGCAAAACCCATATGTTCATATGCATGTTCAAAGCAAGCAACCTGTAATCCTGTGGTTCTCTTTCCTTACTATATGCCATATTTGTTTGTTGTTTTAGCATACATCAGACTATTCAACAGCTTTCACATATACTCAGGCCTTGTATAACATACCATAAAGTATGGGTTTTTGCTCATTGTTGAAGGCCATATATGTTGAAACTATGAACAAGTGTATGATCTAAGACAGAAAGATTCCCTTTGTGGATTTATTTACATTATACATAAACATGAATCACCAAAAATATTGGATAGTACAACAGACTACACCAAGCTCCCTCGAAAAAAATAGACATAAATTTTACATGCTGCTGAAATTCACCCACAGGAACTTACCTTAAAGAAATCAAATATTAACAGCAATAAGTGTCCTTTCCTTGATATAAACAGTGTTACACCAGAAACCAAAAATTTACAACAAAAGGGATGATTTTTCTTTCCCTATTGTTAATTTTCCTTTTTTGGACAGTGATGTTCCTCTGGCACCATCTTATGGTGTTTATATATCAAAACTCATTCCTTAAGTCAGGGAATTCGTTCCCACAAATCACTTAAAACCTTTACTAAATTTTTCCATATATACAAAGATTTGGTTTGCAAGTTTGGCTGTACCTGTAGAAAAGTTATTTCAGACAGAATAGCACATTCTAAATTTTACTGTGATGTTGTTTACCCAGCCCAGAAATTTATATACGATCAGGGTATACTTATCAATCCTTTAAATAAACTTATCCTAAAAAGTTACCAATTCAACACTGTAATTAGATCTCTGAATATTGTTTTATTGGTATAAATATTGATTTTACTATCAGTAAATTAAAATCATACTAAATAGTTTTGTTATGCACATATGTACTGTAACGGTACTACAATCTGTTAATACCTTAATTTTGGCATTGCACAAGGTCATGTTTTTCTCTGACTGTTAATGACGTCTTTACACTAAATCCATTGGATGTTGGATGAGAACTGATTGATGTTTTAGTCTTTGATACATGATTTTTTTTAATAGTTGTTACTGGCTTTGAAATAGCTGTCAGTAACTGTGAGTACTCTCAGATCTGTACTTAGTGTCCTTTTTGTTGTTAGGGATGAGGGATGGATAAATACTCTGCCACGTCTGCTTTTCTGCTTTGTATTGATCTAATGAGTTAAGCCTTTTTCAACTGATTTTTATTATTAGTTCTTATGTTGTGCTGTTACGCCACTGTCCCAGGTTAGGGGGAGAGTTGAGCGCTCACAAACATGTTTAACCCCACCACATTCTTTATGTGCCTGTCCCAATTCAAGAGCCTTTGTTTCAGTGGTTGTCGTTGGTTCATGTCTGTCATATTTGTTTTTTTTCGTAAATTGTTTTGTTATAATTAGGCCGTTAGTTTTCTCAATTGAATTGTTTCATATTTTTTATGTCAGGGACTTTTATAGCTGACTAGCCGGTATGGATTTTTTTCATTGTTGAAGGCCGCAGGGTTGCCTATAATTGCTTACATCCACTTTATCTGACCTTTGGTGGATAATTGTCTCATTGGCAATCATACCTCATCTCCTTATTTCTATATAAATACAAAATATACAAAAACAAGCAGAGAATAAAACATGGTCAAAATAGCCCAATTTAGTACATTTTTTTACTAGGTACAGGAAAGTTTTCAATATAGGTAAGGTACATGGTACTTGTATTATTCAAAGCTGTAAAATGATTCTAGACGTCAAGGTTTAGGTAAAATCATGTTGCTGGGTAGCTGTCCTACATAGTGTTGCCTTAATGTTTCACAAACAGCAATTGCAACAAACATAGTCCATTTTTGAACAACTAGAAATCAATCATGTGTTAGTCTTTCAATTTCATTTTACAGAAAAAAAATTAAAATATCAAATATATCTGAACAAACCTCCTGCTCTGGTCTGGAATACTGTTGGAGAACTGAGAACCTCAGATAAATACTCTGTGTAGTAGTTGCTAACAGCCCCATGCACTATGTACATTGTAAATGGCTGTAGCTTGGTCAGAGTCATAGTGTTGTTGTAAGAGGCCTGAAATGTAACAATAGTCACAAATGAACATACCAATTAATACATATAAACAAATGTATACAGCCAAACCTCTTTAACACAAAGTCAAAGGGACTGGACAAAAGTATTTGACTTATAACCTGAGGTTCAACTATCCGAGGTTGAGTGTGTTGTAATAAACTTTGAATGCATGAAACAAGGTATCAGATTTGTGTAACAAGATATTTTTAACAATGTGCCTTTTTTGATATGGGAGTTTATGACTGTGTATAAACATGGACCAGAGCCGGTTATGTAATATCCTTGTATGTTTACAAAGCACGATTGAGTATACTAAGTAGCTCTTTCCACTTAATTTCTTTCCGAAAATATTCGAAATGAACGTTAGATAAAGGTTTCAATGATAATTTTAGTATTTTTGAAGGATTCAGATGCATAATTAAATCTTTATTACTACCTTTTTAAATTTTTCATCAAATCATATTTATATAGGTATTTATGATAATTTAAATCTTTTCGACTAAAAAATTAAATTAATTAGATGCAAACCACTGAAACTTAAGAAAAATAACTTTAAATAGACCGATCAATGTCCGGTACAAAATAGTTTACCTGTCGCCTAAACAAGTAAATTTCAGCTGTCGGACAACTAATTAACCTTGAATGTAATGAGAGGGTATTAAAGTAAGGTTTGTTTTGGTAGTACTTATTCATCATGTCATTTTTATGACCGTAAATGTGTGGCTGTTTAAAAAAAAGGTCGAGTCAAATGAATCGTATGAACTTCCAATTTTTTTCTGAATTATGTTAGAATGGCAAACCCATGTTATATGTCAGTTTCAGGCTCAGCACAACATGTCAATTATATAATTTATCTGACAAGTTCAGACAATACGACCGTTTTGAAAGCCTTGCTTTGCATTCATTTTTTGTAAATTGTCATAATTGTCAAAAGTCTTATAATTATTGTTATTAATGAATCTTAATTCAAACAATTCATGTATTAATCTCGGCTTGAATCATTCTAATTTGTTTCGTTTACAGCTTACCTCAGACATACATCCACTGCCAGCAGAACCACATGGCTGGGTCCCTGCTTTATAATATACTGAGTACTTAGTATCAGGAACAGAGATACCAGTACAGGACAATGGCCATGTGATGGGTTTTAGCTCTAATTCAATGGTCTGGTTTGTTTTTTGTATCAAGGTAACAGAACCTTTATATGGTTGAGGATAAAGACATTCTGTAGCTAGAATATAAGAAACGTTAATAAATTTCTACATATCATTTTTTGAGATATGAAAGTTTGATCAAAATTTATCAATTAAGAGAGACCTGATTTTGATAACAAAACCTAAAACAATTAAATCAAGGACTTACCCAGATAATAAGCAAAGTAATCTCCCTTATTTGTTTCTTAAATGACAAAAATAATTTCAGATAAAAATTCAGCACTGCAAATTTTATAATTTTCTGTCAAATCAAGTTTCTTGCAATATATTATTTCTTTAATAAAAAAAAGCTGCAGATGCTTAATTAAACTTTGTGATAATATTATGAAGAAAAACAACAAAAGTGTTGTTCGGTTGATACATTGACTATATACTGCGATTTCTTCCTCAAATACATCCACATAGAATTCTTTTTTCCAATGACAGGTTCATCATACTTACAAGGTAAAGGTTGGAGATGTGTCCCGTATCCAATTATATCGTGAACTTCTCCTATACTCTTTGTTGTAACAATACTTGTCTGTTTATCCATTATGTATAATAACTTCTCCGTTTTGTTGTACCAATAAATATTTGAATGATCAACTGTCAAACTGTCTGGTGGAAAACCTAAAAGAAAGTTTACAAGTTTGAATAAAACCAAACACGAGGGAAATTCCATGATGCAGCACTCCAACCATATATGTTAAATATAAAAAAGACATCAAAATGTCAACTAAATTTAAATAACATATGGAAAGTTCAGGTGATTAAAATCTGTAAAAGTTTATTTATTTTTGTCTATGAAATCAAAAATTCTTGTGGATTCTGAAAAGTTCCAGGCATTGATTCCTGAAATATATGTCTTTTAATTCTTATTTGAGGTCATATTTTGATGAAATTTTTACTGTTAAACTCATAAATGTGTTCAATTTTTTAAGGTTACTATGAAATAATTTCATGACATGACTTTACTGACAAATCATTATTTATATACAAATATTGAAATTAAGTGTCATTTTTTCTTGTATAGAGCTATGATTTCTTTTCAAGCAGAAATTTGCATTTCCTTAAAACAGTAATTTTGTTTTAAAGTATATGTATAAAGCATTAATATGTTACATGATTATTGCAAGAAACTGTAGACATTTCTGTATTTAATGGCAATAATTTCATTTAATTTAATAAGAAATAACTTAAGTAGAATTTTTATAAAATGTGTTTTTATATGTAATATATAGCAGAATTTTCAAATGGTGAACACTTTTGACCTCTGTATAAATGTAGGCTAAGAAAAAGAACAAACCTTTCTTGCTGGCAGAAGTTTGACTGGTTACAGATTTACAGTAGCATCCATTTATATCTGTAGCTATGATGGATTTTGTTCCTTCATTATAAAACAAAATTTCAGTCTTTACGTCCTCAGTGTTATCTAAAGCTATTCTACTTCCTGGTTGGAAAGAAGCTGAGCAATTACAACTAGGAGCCTCTCTTTTATTTCTGGCATTACTAAATAATGGTTTGACCTTGTGGTCTGGACCCATCTTGTACAACTCAGAATGGCTGTCACTAGTATCCGATTCCGTCCATGCTATAGTACTGAAAAAACACATTTGTTAGAAAATTTTCATTATAAAGTTGAAAGCTGTGCTGAAATAGTTAATAGCTGCTAGTCATTTGTACAAGACCAATTTATTACCCATCCTATTGTCCTCATGTCTATCAATTTGCATAGAAGAAACCACTGATTTCAGAATATCAAAATTTTGTGTGGCCACATTGTCTTCATTTAATTAGTATGCAGGAAATTTTAAAGACTACACCGGTCATAAAATGGCCACATTTTGAAATTGATTTTCTTTTCTTTTTCGTTTACCGATAGAAAAAAAAACAAATTACTATTTAAAAACATGGCGAGTATCCCATGACCATACTGTGAAAAATGATGATGATGGATTGCAAAGACAAATATTACATGCTGTCAGGACAAGGACATCTTAATGATTGATTGATTGCTTTAACGTGCAGTGGCAAATATTTCATGCATGTTCAAGATGAAGAAGGTTAATGAGCTATGAATATGAATCCTGCTTTATATCAGACCAACATGCCGAGCTATATATTCATGGTGCTAGTTCACAAGGTAACAATCTGAAGAAAGACTAATAACCCTACCCCGACACATTATGCTGATGCTGTGCCGACCAGTCTTTTCTTTCACGCCGAATAAAATGCTGCAGTCTTGGTGCAGAACTAGGAAATCTCAATTTTTTTACCTAGCCATTTTTGAATCTACAACCTAACACAATTGAGGTGTAATGCTAATACAAGACCACCAAGACAATTTTTGCATTCTGAGAATTTTCAAAATTTGTCATTTTAAAATTTAACCAAAAGAAATGGTGATTAAGCTATATAATTACCTTGTATGAGGATCGGTAACTATACTGTTAATAATACCATCTCTTGTCTGTAGTTTATAACCTATACGCTGATCCAGTGAGAATGTGATTATTGAACTTGTAGACTGTGATGAGTTGACCTCTACAATAAACAATGACCGTCTAATCCAATCTACAGCAAGGTCAGTTACTTTTCCCTCCAATTCTAAAAGCTAAAATAAACAAATGAATGTCATTACAGATATTACTTTATTTCTTATTATGGATGGACAGGCAGAAATGTACAAACTGAATTGACTGTACCAGAAACCAATTATAACTAGGTACAACTAAGAAATGTGATTGATTTCACAAAAGGATACCCTGTCATGCAAATTTATTATCTCCCCTTTAATATAGCAATATCTTAGCTGAATAATCTCCCCCTTCAACCAGTTTGACAGGCATTATATTCTACTATGCTCATCATCATGAAGTGTTCTACAACTGTGTAAAGTTTAATCAATATCTGTTCAGCTTTTTTGGAGGAGTTAAATTTACAAAGAACAGAATGACAGATGGATGGACAGACAGACAAACAGGGTGAATGCTATATACCCTCAACTATTTGTTTAGGGTACAATAAAGAAATCCTAATGTGTTCATTGATTGTTGTTTGCTGAACATACAGTGGCAAATATTTCATGCATAGCCAAAAAGCTGTGTAAACCAATTTATTTTCGTTTTTTGTTTTGTACAAAAATCTGAAAGTTAGTTTTCTCTTTTGAATTGGTTTACATTTGTCATTTAGGGACCTTTTATAGCTTATTAAGTGGTATGGGTTTTGTTCATTGTTGAAGGTCATATGGTGACCATTAGTTGTTAACTCCTATGTCATTTGGTCTCTGGTAGAGAGTTTTCTCATTTGCAATCAAACCACATCTTCTTATTTTTATAATAGTAAAAATTTGATAGAAGTTGAATAAAATCATCTCTGTTAACAGGAACCTATTATAGAGGGGCCTGATGGGTTATTTTCGTTCTTCGTGATCGGCGCATTTTCACTATCGTGATCCGTTTTTCTACAGATTTATTTTTTTTTTATATTTTCGTGATCCGTGATCATGGAAATTTATTTTCTGTGAATCGTGATTGACAAAAAAATCAACTCGTGAATCGTGATGAGACCCCCCCCCCCCCCCCCCCCCCATCAGGCCCCTCATTATAATACTAATAAATTGATGAAGTTACCTTTTTTTGTCCCTGTTTACTATGTTCCTTCAGCAGGTTATTTTTATCAACCCAGAACAACCTATTTTCCTGGGCCAGGTACGTGGCAACCATTGGTGATACAACAGGCTCTAATACAACTGTCTTATTACCGACACTGTCAACTTCCTCTATTAATATTTGATTGGCTGATATTACTAGTAACTTAGGAACAGGATTAACAGCTAAAAATCGAACAAAATAGAAATATTATAAATACATGAGGTTAATGTTTGCAATTTCCATAAATAAATTGTATTTTGTGATTTATTTAGTGTTCTGAAAATAAATTTTAAAGTTTGTCAATACGAGCAACAAAGCAAAAAAGGAATATATTTTTCTATGACGCATGCACCACTAACTTCTGTTAACAGGTTTGATATTACAAGACTCACAATCTTATTAAAGAGCAAACGCCCAGTCAGACTTGGTTCTTTGTCCTTTATACATGTACATCATACATTGATTGATCCATCTATTGGTCTTTAACACCACTTTCAGCACTATTGTGCTATTTCGTGGCAGTCAGTTTTTATTGGTGGAGGAAGCCTGATTGCTGGAGAGAATCATCCACCTTCGGAAGAAAAACTGACAATCCTAGTGAATTAAGATTGGAGTTGAGGTACCTGCCACCTGCCAGTTTGGAACTGATACAATAGTTTCACTACTTAGACCCCTCATACACTGAGGCCCCTATATTCCATACAAGAATTACATTTATCTCATCTGCCCTCTATCACTTACCATCAGCTTCAGCAGATACCAGATCAGTTTTGGGTCCACATCCTTTTTGTGTACAAGCTGATACCTACAAATAATTATTAACACACATTGTTATTGACTTGAAAATGAAATATGTATTATTTCTTTTCTTACTAGTCAAGTCCAAATTGGAATTTATCAATTACAATGGTTGCACCCAAGTTTTGCACCAGGACATTTTAGAAATAATCAATTCCAAAATCATTTTGGGAATAAAAAAATTGTGCAAAAAACAATTGAAAGTTTCTGATCTTAATGCTAATTTTGAGTCAGTCTTTATAGTCTAGATAACAGAAATATTTAAAACTTGCTCACCTGAAAAAAATAAGTCATACCAGGTTGAAGACTTGGTAGATTAAAATATCTCACAGTACTTTGTACTGATGTTGTGTTTTTATTATTTTCGTCTCCATTTTTCCATGAATAGATCTTGAAATCCGTAATTATTCCATTTAAAAGTTTAGGTAATGTCCAACGGAAATCTGCAGCAAGAGAATTTTCTGAGGTCATTGATTCCTTATGCTGGGTCACATAAACTCTTGGAGTTAATGGTTTACTGGGAACTGAAATATATAACACCTTGATTACCATATATAGTATTATTTTCATATTTAGAGATAAACATTTAAAAAATACACATGAGTCAATACAATATGTTTAGCATTAAATCACACCAAGTCAACAAAAATAGTGAATAAATTTTGTCATGTCAAAACATATAACATATATAATATATAATAGAGTATGTATTTTTGAAATTTATGAATAGGGTTAGGTACTGGATGTCTCAGGTGCTCATCCCTACCATAAAGAGATTGAAGTGCCACACACCCCTACTTTAGGTATTTATTTACTTACCAGACATTGGTGTATTGATATCAGCCACAGTAACTGGACCATAACCCCAGTGGGTGTAAGCTCTGAGTGTAACGGTCATCTCTGTATAAGCTGATATATTAGACAATTCGATAAAATTCTTTGTGGTTTGCTGTAAATACAGATTAATCTTTTATTTTATTTAAAATATAATTTTATAGCTATCCTTCACTCCTTGGCTTTTGTATTAATTTTGCTAATGTAAATCTCAATAGTGTTTTGTAGAATAAGATAACACGATGCAATGGCTGATTTCAACTGTGTAAATGAATATTAATTGGTCAAATGTAAAGACGGATTTTCAGCTAAAATTTTCAATCATACTTTCTTAATATTGCAGTTAAGTTTTTAACTAAAAACATATGTTTGGATTTTTACACTGTATATCTGGATATCTGTTAAATTTCTTTAGAATAAAAACATTGCAAAAATTTCTGAATTTACAGGATGTCATGGACGACTTATAATGATCTTCAACCATATAAATGAAATATTGAAACTACAGACAAGCAAACAAACAAACAATTACCATGGCAACACTTCTTCCAGCATCATCATGTATCTGTATAGAAACTTCATAAAAAATATCACCATGGTTAACTACGGCCTTCTGCCAGGTCAGGTTAAAGGCTGACCAATGACCTTCACATCTTATCGTCTGCTCTGGAATTTCTGTTGGTATAATTTTAAGGCTTTTCTTGTCCAAACCTTCTGCAAAAGTATGTAAATAATAAATGTATCATGAGCATTAAAAATTTTTGATAAAGATTTCTCATGCCTGTCACAACTACTATCACTTTTCCAGAATGTTTTTAGTTTAATGTTTATTCAAGTTTTGTACTTTTTGACAGAATATGTTCTCTCTGCACTAACATTTTGTTTTTTTTCATTTTGTAACTTTCTGTAGTTTTTGTCAATATCTTATACAATTTTCCATTTCTGTGAAGCAAAAATTCCTGCAGCACCTGCACATAGTGTACTGTAAATTCAGAAATTATTGCGATGTTTTTATTATTGCGAAAAATGCGACAGGGTTATAATCGCAATAATTAAAACTCGCATTTTGAAATTTTTTATATGAATTAAACAGGATTTTTCTCAATATTGCAAAAATTAAAATCGCATTTTAGTCTAAAATGACAAAATCGCAATAATAAATGCACGCAATAATTTCTGAATTTACAGTATATATTTCCCATGCAATATGATATTTTATGGTTTGTTATTCCTATCATGATTTCCATGATGAAGGTTTAATGCTTCTAACCAGGAAGCTATTGACCCAAGGATTCCAAACAGTAATGTTTAGGTCATCCCTTTGAAAGTTTTTCAAATGCTATTATGATTTGGTTGACCACTGTGGATTATCTGTGTGACAGATGACCACAGATATGTTCAATTTGTTGTAACTAAAATGCCATCCAGTTTCCCTTTGTTATGTTCCTTGAGAACAAAACTTTATGACAAAAGAGATAATTTCAGCTTCCCAATTGTAAACTTTCCATTTCTATGTTTAAGGAGTATGGATGAAGAGACAGACATGTCATAGTAAACATTTGGACTGGTTCTTAAGTTATTTTGTATAGTTACCTGGATATGGATGGAGAGATGGATGGGTAACAGTAAACACAGAAACTGGTTCTACTGTAATTTCTGATGTGTAGTTACATTCAAGGTCACCGACAATGATTGAGCCTTTCTCATTCTGCCAGAATAAACGGTGAGAAAAGTACTGCATGACAGAAAATCTGAAATGAAAACAAAATATCAACTAATAATAAGAATTAACCATAAAAAATTGTGAGTACCATAAGTACAAAAAACTAGTTAGGCAGTACAGAATTGTAAATTTTTACTTTTGTATGAATACCTGATGACATAATCTTAAATACTGTAAATTCAGAAAGTATTGCGATGTTTTTATTATTGCGAAATATGCGACAGGGTTATAATCGCAATAAATTAAACTCGCATTTTGAAATTTTTTATATGAATTAAACAGGATTTTTCTAAATATCGCAAAAATTGAAATCGCATTTTAGTATAAAATGACAAAATCGCAATAATAAATGCACGCAATAATTTCTGAATTTACAGTACCAAATCTACCAATTGATTTCTCAAATACCAAATGTTTTATTATAGGGTTATTCCATGAATATTGGTAAATATTGTAAAGAGTAGATTCAGACCTGCCAACTATCCCAATTTATGGGGGATATCCCCAATGAGAGGTGTTGACCTGAATTTTGAAAATCTTTATTATGTAAACTAAACACCTCAAAACAGGCATCCAGAGGAGTACAAAGGGTATTAAAGCACATACATGATCCTTCAAAAAATATAGAAGTTGATTAAAAACACTTATGACAATATAAGACGAGCATTAGGTCCTCTTGCACGTAAAATCCCCCATGGAGATTTTTAAAAAGTTGGCAGGTATGTAGATTTTTATATTGGAGAAATCTGTTTAAAACATGAATTTTTTCACTGATTACGTCACTATTTTGAAGCTTTATTGGCACTATAGTTCAATATGCTATATTTTTGCACACTTTCTTTTGGTAACATTCTGTATGAAATATGATGTTGTTATAGAATAATTCAAAGTACATATTGCAGACCCGAATATTTTTATGGAGTGGGGGGAAATTGTAATGTCATGGAGATTTGATTTTCTGTTTTTAATAAACTTGTATACAAGATTGCAGGAAATTTATGCAGTGTTGAATACTTACTTTTAAGGTTAAAAAATACCAAAGACATCCAAGAACTTAGTATTGAACAAATAAATTTCTTACTTTAAAAGTTACCTGTACAATTAGGTTGGTAATATAGTTTAAAACTTACGGAGAAATACTGTTAAAACTTCCAAGAGGTTGCACTGACAGTTGGTCTTGGGTCACACCATTGCCCAGAAGATCCGACATAAACAACTCCTGTCGTTCAAAACTCTTCACATACCATAAAACTTTTCGAAGGTCAAAGTTCAAGGTCAAACTAATGACATGCTTCCCGCAAAAATATGGCAGGTTGAAGTACACAATATGATCCTCTCCATTCAAGTAAGCTGCTTCTAAGGCATTCATGGTGACCCAGTAAATACGACCTTGTAAAGCATCGATTGCCATATGACGAGCTGTGCCTTGTATTACAAACTCTATATTTTCGCCATCAATATCAGACCTTCTAATCTGTAAATATAGAAACAAATACAGAGGGGACTCTATTGAAAGTAAACACAACAGTGTTGGTGCACCATATAAAGTTATAGGGTAGAAAAATTGTTAACAGATTTCTAGAGTTTGTTCTTCTGTTGTGCTGTTATACCACTGTCCCTAATTAGAGAAAGGTTGAGCATGTGTAAACATGTTTAACCCCGCTACATTCTGCATTTGCCTGTCCTGAGTCAGGTGGCTGTAATTCAGTGGTTGTTATTAGTTGGTGTCTGTCATATCTATTTTTCATTAATTGGTTTATTATAGATTATCTATTGGTTCATCTCATTTGAATCGTTTAACATTTTTTCATGTCTTGGCCATTTATAGATAACTATAAGGTATGGACTTGTAGTCATGTGATAGAAGTGATGTGATGGTGTCATAGTTCTATTTATATTAACTATAGGATTAGACCAGTACAGCATCTGTCCCAACCAATCATAACTGACACTTGTAGTCATGTGATAAGAATAATGTGATGTTGTCATAGTTCTATTTATACTTACAACATTATGTTTAGGATACGACCAGTACAGCATCTGTCCCAACCAATCATAACTGACACTTGTAGTCATGTGGTAAGAGTAATGTGATGTTGTCATAGTTCTATTTATACTTACAACATTATGTTTAGGATTAGACCAGTACAGCTTCTGTCCCAACCAATTGTAACTGACATTTGTAGTCATGTGACAGAAGTAATAGTCATACGGTTAGTTCCATTAATACTTACAACATTGTGTTTAGGATTAGACCAGTACAGCTTCTGTCCCAACCAATCGTAACTGACACTTGTAGCATATCTGATGTGGTAGACGATTTCTGACTCTGCTGTAGTTCTGTCAAATATCTGAACACCATTTACATTAGAGGCCCACAGTATCTTATCATCAACCCAGGTCAAATCTGTTGTAAAAAGATGTCTTGAAAATTGAATCATTGTTAAATACAAATTCGCAATAGAAGAATCTGCAGTACTGTTCATACCCCAAAAATAAAGAATTATTTAGTCATTGGTGGAATTTCCATTGTTTAAGATGTCTTTACCAATCTTATGTTATGGTGTATGCTCTTGAAAATATTACCCATAATGCATAATAATCTCTAACAGACAATTTGTTTGAAGGTTACCGCTCATTTTTATTTTGTAAATATGGTTTGGATGACATTATCTATTCTTTTAAATTTATTCACAACTTATCTTTGTTGATAAGCTAGGTAATTTTAGAGCATAAACACTTTTGTTTGTAGTTAATAACCATATGTTGACCTCTAGCTAGACATGTTAAATGTCTTTTGGTTTTTCGTGTCATTGGATTGTTTTCATTGCCTTTAATCCAACATTCTCTTTTGTTTAGGGGCCTGGATTACCAATTGTTTATGTAGTTAATTTAGGTTCTCCAGTTTTCTGGCAACCATGATACACCCAAAAGTTCTGAAAGTGGCGTAAACACCAACAATCAATCAATCAATCAATCCATAAGATCATATTTAATTGATTGATTAATTTTTGGTATTTTAACACCACTTTCAGCACTATTTGCTATTTTGTGGCAGCCAGTTTTTATTGGTGGAGGAAGTAAGAAGAAAACCACTGACCTTTGGCAGGAATACTGGCAATCCTAGTCAATTAAGATTGTGTTATTGTGTTGGCATGCTAGTGGTACAGCAGTTGAACTACTTAGACCACTCGTCCACACAGGCATTCAACTTACCAAGAAGTTCTTCATAAAAGAGATGAACAGTTGTAAGCTGTGTTCTCTGCTGTCCCTCCATATCCATTTCATATAAACCTGTAGTGAAATCTGACTGAGATGCTGCTGCAACTATAACTTTAGCTGTTGATGCCTCTGTTAAAAATATAGAAAATTGAGTAAAATTATCTCCCCTTATATTATACAGATGAGTAAATCAGTGCATCATCTCCTTGAAAATTTCATATAAGACAGAAGTGAAATCTGACTGAGATGATACTATAACTATAACTTTAGCTGTTGAAGCCTCTATCAAAAATAAAGAAAATTGAATCAAATTATCTCCCCTTTATATTTTTAGATAATTAAGTAATTAAGTGTATCAAAGGTTATTTAATATTTTTGTGGTATTCGCCACTCAAAATCTAATGATCTATGAATAATGACATTGTTTATATACAAAAATGAAAGTAACTTAATAATATAGTCAATAGAAGACAAAAATGATTACAAAGAAATTTGAGTTTCTGAAATAATGAACTGTTTTGGTCAATTTAAACCCAATTTAAAAAAAAACATAATATCAGTATAGGACTTGATTTATCCTGTCTTGTCTTATTCACTAAATATTGCTAAAACAGGTATTACCTAAAATTAATGAAGAAAATTTCAAACAATTTTCTTCTAACTTAATAAATCATATCATCATTTTCATCAACTTTCAGATTTGGAATTCAAAATGTTTACCATTTAACCTATAGTTACCTAATGAGAGAGTTCGACCAACAAAGACTTCTGACCAGGGACCAGATCCAGTCTGTGACCAAGCCCTGACTTTCACTTGATAGGCAGTATCTGGTACCAGATTTACTATTTCTAAGAAGGAACCAGTGAGTTTCTCTACTATTTCATTATCTGTTCCATCATCAGCGTACAGACTGACTTCATAATACCAATTCTTATACGCTCCTTTACCTGAAACAAAATACAAAGAATCCTAATTAAAAAATCTGATTTTTTTTTTTAACATTGAAAAAAGAAAAAGAGTGCACACGCTGAAATGTCTCGCCTTCTTCACTAACCATTGATTTTATGTTGATAGTCCTAAATATAAAGCTTTACTACAAGTAACACATAAACTTAATATAATCCAAGAAAATGAGGTCAAGGTCAGATAAACCAAACGAGAAATACATGTACACCTTACAATCATTCAATTAACCAAACATAGTTGACCTATTGCTTATAGTTTCTAAGAAACAGTCTTAACCAAGAAAACTTAACATTGACCAATAAACCATGAAAATGAGGTCAAGGTCAGATGAACCATGCCAGACAGACATGTACACCTTACAATCAATGTATGCATTAAATATAGTTGACCTATTGCTTATAGTTTCTAAGAAACAGTCTTAACCAAGAAAACTTAACATTGACCAATGAACCATGAAAATGAGGTCATGGTCAGATGATACCTGCCAGACAGACATATACACCTTACAATCCTTCCATGCAACAAATATAAAATTGAGAATGGAATATAGTTGATCTATTGCTTATAGTTGAGGAAAAAAAGACCAAAACACAAAAACTTAACTCTGAGAAATGAACCGTGAAAATGATGTCAAGGTCAAATAAAACCTGCGAGACTGACATGTACATCATAAAATATTTACATACACCAAATATAGTTGACCTATTGCATATAGTATTAGAAAAAAAGACCAAAACTCAAAAACTTAACTTTGACCACTGAACCATGAAAATGAGGTCAAGGTCAGATGACACCTACCAGTTGGACATGTACACCTTACAATCATTCCATATACCAAATATAGTAGACCTACTGCTTATAGTATCTGATATATGGACTTGACCAACAAAACTTAACCTTGTTCACTGATCCATGAAATGAGGTCGAGGTCAAATGAAAATTGTCTGACGGGCATGAGGACCTTGCAAGGTACGCACATACAAAATATAGTTATCCTATAACTCATAATAAGAAAGAAATTAACATTACAAAAAATGTTGACTTTTTTTCAAGTAGTCACTGAACCATGAAAATGAGGTCAAGGACAATGGACATATGACAGACGGAAACTTCGTAACATAAGGCATATATATACAAAGTATGAAGCATCAAGGTCTTCTAGCTTCTAAAATATAAAGATTTTAAAAAGTTAGCTAACGCCACCACCGCATCACTATCCCTATGTCGAGCTTTCTGCGACAAAAGTCACAGGCTCGACAAAAACTCATTTTAATATATTTTTCAACACTGTAAACAAACATTTGGTCTCTGGCAGAGTTGTCTCATTGACAATCATACCACATCTTTTTATTTTATAATGAAATTTTATGAGTTATTCCCCTTATTTTGAAATAATCTGATTTTTCTTTAGTCATCTCCCCTTGCTTACTGATAGACAATGTTTTCTAAATAATCTATCTTCTGTTATCAGAATTTTTTTTTTTGCAAAACTGCATGGTTTGAAATCAATCTAAGGTAATGCACCTGTATGGGTGGTGTCTTCCCGATTGTCCCACTTTTTAAAATTACAGGTAAAAAAGTAATGAAATTATGTGGGACAATCGGGAATATGTTTGTGGGACAATTGGGAAGCTTAAATGTGGGACAATCGGGAATTGTTTTGATAGTGATTAATTTGTTTGTATAGGGTGTAGAAGGAATAGTTACAGGTAAACAATCAGTGTACAATTGAAGTATCATCAATCATAGAATATAATATTAAGTAAAAAAACATCACATATCAATTTTTCATCCTGTCTTGTGCAAAGTCATTTATTTTCAGTTAATACCAGGCCAAGTTATTCATTTTCAAAATCATCCTCCCCTCCCCCTTTCGAAATCAAATGGTCGTCCCCTTATTGAAAGCTAATGTAAGGACGTCATCAATAGTCTTAGAAAAGTATGATCATAAACATCGTTACCGTAAAAACTAGGATTCTACTATTACAGCATGTTTTACTAACTTACTGTATTTTGTAGAAAGTCTTTGAAAAAAGGATTATACATTATGTATATGCCTGTCCCAAGTCAGTATCGTGCCGGTATTTGAGTGGTTGTCGTTGGTTCATGTTTGTCATAATTTTTTTGGTTAATTGTTTAGTTATTTTGGCTGTTAGTTTTCTCAAATGAATTATATAAAATTTTCCATATCGGGGCATTTTATAGCCGACCATACTGTATGGGCTTTCTCATTGTTGAAGGCCATACAGTTGCCTATAAATGCTTACTTCCACATCTCCTTATTTTTATATTATACAACTAGTACTACATAAAATTAACATTATCAATGTTCCATGTAAATGAGGTAAGGTCAGATTAACTCTGTCACAAAGAAATATATACACCCTGCTACCATTCCATACACCAAAAGTATTTGACCCACTACTTATAGCATCTGAGATACGGCCTTGGCCATTGAAACTTAACCTTGTTCAAAGATCCATAAAATGAGGTCGAGGTTATGTGAACGATGATGTCTGACGGACATGTAGGCATTGCAAGGATACCATATATTAGACTAGTAGCCAAGTATAGTTATCCTAGAACTTATGATAAATGAGACATTCACATGACGAAAACAGTTTTTAGCAGTCACCAAACCATGAACATGAAGTCAAGGACAATGATTATATGACAGACGGGAACTTCGTAACACAATGGATCTATATACAAAATATGAGCCATCCGATTCCTCTACCCCCTGAAATATAAAGCTTTACAAATAGTTAACGGTGTTGCCGTCACCACCATCAGATTGTATTCTGTATGATAAAGAATCTTGTGTAAATGGCATCTGACTTCACTGGTAAAAGTGCAAAGACTAGTGGAAACATCTCTCCATCAACTAGTGCGTGTATAGTGTACAGCGTAATTAAGTTTTAAGTTACACTTTTCTTTAAATTGCATGCATTATATCTTAATTCATTTTAAAAACTTTCGAAAAAAATTTAAATTAAAATCACAGTATTGATATTTGTTTTATATAAATAAACGTAAGCTTATAAATATAATTCATAAATGTTATATTATTTACTCAAAAGTGCATTAATCTGATGATATACCAAAAAAATCATATCTTATGCTTTTATAAAATTTATATTAAATAAAAGTTTGAACATGCAATAATTAATTCTTGTTTATCTAGCAAAACAAACAATATATACCTTGTTTATTTAAGAACATTTTACTTCATAAAATAATGTGGGACAATCAGAACTCTAAAGTTTTAAAAAGTGGGACAATCGGGAATAAACCGTATGGGTTGAGATTTTGGGAATTACAACGAGGTGACTGATAGATCTAACCTTGATAAGAGAGAGGTTTTGGTCGGTTCCATTGCATGATAACACGTTTATCTGTAAACAATCCTCTAACATCCTGCGGCGAGCTATGAGGCACTGAAATTAAAAAAATCAAAACAAAGTTCATGTAAAAGTAATCAGAATGTGTTCCCCTGCTTGATGTATTATATTGATGAATACTGTGTGTGATATCATATACACTTTATTATATACTTAAAATTGAAGTTTTTTTTTCTTTTGGAGTTTGATAAAGACTTTGGAACATTTAAGGAATGGCTGTAATATTTTTCTGTCTATGAAGAAATAACATCAAAAATGTGGTGCACACGGAATAACTTGCATAGTGGGTTATTTAAAAGTGTGCATTACATTTTTTAGGTTATTTCGAATAGACAGTCATTTCTTATAATTTAATTCTAAATTCCATATCTAAGGAGTAAATTTTGAAAAAAAACATTGGTGACGTTACGGTCAGATGTCAAAATTATGTCTATGAGCTAACAGACAAAACACTTTCAGCCAATCAGAAGACATGTTATATCCAAAATTAAATTATTGACTGATATCAATATCATCACGAATGGTAGGCTGATCTCCTGTCTCGATAAACTTTCATATTACATATTTCATGTATCAAGACAGGTAGGGTCCAACGCCATCTTTTTATTTGAAATTTAGGTTGTTCTAAGTTTAAAAATATCATCGTCATAAAAATAGGGAAGTGTTTTCTCCCAGCATGCACTTGTAACTCACAACAACAATAAACAATGGCGGCAAAAATAACTTCTGGAATCTCCTGAGCGACTGACTGCGCGTTGTCTAGTTAAAAAAAAGTACTAAAATGGAGTCGGCCTCCACCTGTCTATGTATAGAATAATTTGATTATACATAGCTGGTACCCAGTCATCATGAATGGCTGATACAGCACAAATTCTCATTAATTGTTTTACACATAACATTCACTTGTATTCGCTACTAAGTATATAATAAATTTTTAAAAAAAAACAACATTTATATGTGCAGCATTTTTCTAAGATTAATAAACAAAAACCCAAAAGATCAACAACATTTCTCACCACAAACCTTTATAAAGGTATAATCAAGTTACAGCACTGGGACTCATTTCACAAAAAATCGTACGAGTGAAAACATTTGTATGTCATGAACATTTCAGTAAAACTTACAACCAATTTTAATCGTAAGATATTTTTCGAAATGAGCCCCTGAATATTCTACCGCCAAAGTTATTATCATACCTGGGTGTGGCTGTGCTGTCGGATGATAAATGTTGAAGGAGGAATATTTAGTCACATACATTTCATTCACGTAGAATTTCCCTATTCTCTCATCGTACTCTTCGATCAAAAGTTTGGTCCCATTTGTTAAGAAGAAAACTCCTCCGTAGAACACCATGCTTCTTATACTATAATAGTTTGGTTGCACTACTTTGTCTTTTCGGACATCGGCTAAACCAGTGCCATCTAAAAATGCTGACATGAGAGTATTGGCAATTTCGTTAGGAAAATATAACTGCATATTGTTGAAGTCAATAGAGAATGAATTTAATCTGCTGCTAACCAGCATGAAATGGCGTGCAGGTTTTGATGGAGTTATCTCCCCTATGTCTACTGCATACAGCCCCATGTTGATACTTCCTTGCGTGAAAAACAGGAATCTGAAAAATAATTTAATTAATTCTAATAAACTGTTAACACAGAGATATGTCTCGCCTTTTTGTAATTTTCATATTATGAATATTGCCTATGATGCAATTTTTTAAATTAATATGGCAATTTGAACATTTAAACGAAGCAAAAAGTTTCAAAGTCAATGAACCATGATCAGGGTGCAGGGCCATATAATCTCCATGGAAATGAGATGCGCCAATGTTAATACAACTGCATACAAAACATCATTGAACTAACACTAGTGGTTCCCATAAACTGACCTAATCACCAATTAATACATTGTTGATGCTGCCACCTTCAGAAACAGCACAGCTAAGTCTCAATTTTTGGACTTCATCAAGGCAAGACAAAAAAAGATGCTTGTTAGTACAGGGTTCAATTTTTCCAAAGTTAAAATCTAAAACTTTTGTACATTAATCATCACATCTTCTCTACCTCTGAAGTTGAAGTTTGTTTTTACACAAAAAAATTGTGCCCCCTTCTTTTATCATGCCAAAGTTCCAATTAATGTCCCCAAAAATTATAGATTTACATCATTTTTATAGCACATGGCTGCCACTCTTAACCCACATCACACACAAAGAAATAATATACTATGCACAGTATCTTTATAATTTATGATAATACTTAAATATCTTGAAAGAGCTAGTTGGTGTTTAACTTAAGAACCCTTAGACCTTGGAAACCAATTGTTTTCGGGCTTTCAAGTTTTCTATAAAATTCATAAAACAAATTGTAAATTATAAAACAACATAGGTAAAAATATGTAAACATGTGAACTTTCTACAACTTGACAAACAAAATCTTTTAAATTTTAACAAGAGTTGTCTCTCTTTGAACACTCACCCATTGATAGGATCAACCTTTATGACATCTGGTTGTGAAGGTAACATTTCTGTTGCCATGATACAGCTCGGCCTATCTAAATCACATCTTTTGATCTAAAAAGCCATGAGTCATATGTGAAGAAAGTGCAATACAATATTATTGTGCATCAAAAAACAAAATTACTTCAATACTCATTATCACATGTCAAAATAATCTATATACAGTCAAACCACCATCAGGACCACAGAAAATTGACCAAAAGGAGATGTGACCTTAGATTTGAGGTTAAAAATAAATAGGTATTACTACAGCACGACAAGACAGGTTTTCGCTTAATATAGGTGACCTTAAGTTTGACCATACATTTGAACTTTGAGTGAAGCTTATTAGACTGTTGCTGGTTTCAAAATCAAATTTTTTACACATGTAAAATAGATAGGTTTGTGAATTTAAAAAAAAAAAGCAGCAGAATTCAACCGTTCAGTCTATGGAGTTTTAAGGAAACGATCAATTTTTTATATTTATTTACAAATCATCTTTCAAAAATTGGGAGTATGGGTAATAAATAAAATCGATTACCAGATCAAAATTAGTCTAATAAAATGCTCTCATTTCATTTTTACATTTACATGTAAATGTAATGTTATTACCTGGCCTCTTGGAAGGAACACTATAGTATTTCAATGTTGCCAATCTTAAAAAATTGCTACTTCAAAGTCTTACCATTAAACCATCTACAATGTATGTATAATTATGTAACCAGTCAATAGTTATTGCTCCAGGATGAGAGAGACTGGGATAGATGTTGTCCGTTACGGAACTGTCAACCATGCTAACTTGATGGACTTGTCCGGAGGAATCGCTGCAGACAATAATCTTTTTCTGGATATGAACTGCAACTCCTTCACAAATAAAAAACAAACGTTATTTTACATTTGTCTATATATTTTTTTTCTATTTTGAATTGTGTAAACCAACTTATTTTCGCTCTTCAAGCCAATTTCCCCGGCAAATTTATTTTTGCAATTTTGCAATTTTCTAACTTGTTCAATAATGTATCCATATAAGGAAAATTCAACTTTGACATATTTGTGACGATTTATATTAGCTTGATATCTTTATTCTGAGAAAGAACAGGGAAAATCTTTTACGAAAAATTAGTTGGTTTACAGTTATATTTCCACCTTTATAATTTGTGACCTGAAAACCTGTAAATTACAAAAATTGAAATGAAAAAGCAAAATATTATCAAATTCAATTATCATAACATTAAAATAATTTCATATAAAAAGTTCAAAATATTCAAACGTAAGGTTTAAAAAAAGAAACAAAATAAATTTGCTCAAATATCACAACTTAATAAAGAGTGGTTATAATTAAAAACAAAGAAATCATACAATTAAAAAAAGATATTCTTTACAGACAACTCCAATGTAAGTTTAATTGAAATTTACATTTGAAAGGTTGTAATAAAACCTTTGTTGTAAAGTACAAAAAAACTGGGAACAAATATGAAAACTTTATAATGCCATAAATACTTCACAATAATAAATTTCCCTCTTAACCCATATTTCTAGGAAATCTAGCCACAGACATATATTTAGCAATGATAAAAAATTGATAATCTCTGTAAAATTGACGGAAATTGATATACCTCATTTGGAAAAAAATATGTCTGAAGTTTTGACAAGGAAACATAAATGCATATTTACAGATATAATTTAAGCCATGGTAATATTGATAATTTCTGTAATCAAATCTTGAAATTGATCCAATAAAATTTATCGTAGGATAAGTCTGAAGGTTACTTAATGACTGTAAGTAACTTGCCCAGTAAAAGCAACATCTGAATATCTTTAATTGAAAATAACATTTTGACACAATCATCAGTGATTGATGACTTTCCATCAAATAATTCTATGTAACTGGCCATGCAATCATAAAGTAACATGCAACAAGGTTTAAAATAAAACAGACAGTTACAATGAATTCTGATTCTCAGATGAAGATGAATGAACCAAAAATGATCTTGCAATCAATTATAGTGAAGAACAAGAATGATTAAAAACGAGGACAAATCTGTATTTAATTGGAGGGTTAATGTTGTTATCATGATAATTCTATTGTACATTGTAATTAGCAAACAATAATGATTCTTCAAGAACAAAAAATTAGTAGCTTACAATCAGCTCATCAAACTTTCTTGGCCAATTTCATTGTATAATGTGATGTTTTAACCTTATCAATATGATTCATACAGTATTTCATCAGGATAAATCTTTCATAAGAAGAGACTTATCAAATATCATCAGTTCATATAATAGTAGATATGTAAAGAAATCATACCTTTAATCAATGTGTACAGCCATGTAATTAAAGAATAGTAATTAAAGAAGCAAGTAAAATAATAGATACAATCAGTTCTTACATCTTGATTTATTTTATTTCAAACCTGAACTGTAGATAAAGGTGCAGGTCATTAATCTTTACATTGCATGCACAGAATTTACTTTTGTATGTTTTTTGGTGTTTTTTTTTTTAATTTCCTCATACTCCTATTCTGTGTTGCTGTCTTTTGCAATTTTATTGTACTTTTAATTTAAATTTTTTGAATCCATCATAGCAAAAAATTATTCTTAGAATTCAAGAACTGAGTGACCTTTCTGTAGAGGAAACGTGTTCACAAGCCAGTAATCAATGGTAAATTCGTCTTATGAGAGTAGACATTAAAAGCAGTCATTTGTCAAATTTTAATTATCATTAAATTTGTGATGAGAATATAAATTAATGGGTTATCACAAATGTCACGTACATAAATTTTTAGGTTGATGAAGAAATTGATTTTAAATGGATAAAGTTACGTTTTTATTAATTTTTATTAAGCACGGTAGGATTATAAAATATACTGAAATAAATGTCAATGGATTGGTCAGAAAAGAAAACAGTTTTATAACTTTACTACTGAGGAATCAATAATTTTCATGGGTACCAATTTTCGTGGATTGGGAGAAAATTGTATTTTTGTGGATTTTTGATTTTGTGGTGTTTCAAAAGTCTGCATACAAACCTATAGAACATTTGTACTTTGTTGAACATTTAAATGCATGGCTCCTTACCAACGAAATCCAAAAATGTTGGTGTCTAACGATTAATAGTTAATCCACAGTACATATAAAGGTGGAATATCCACAGTACATATAAAGGTGGAATATCCACAGTACATAAGGTGGAATATCCACAGTACATATAAAGGTGGAATATCCACAGTACATATAAAGTGGAATTTCCACAGTACACATAAAGGTGGAATATCCACAGTACATAAGGTGGAATATCCACAGTACATAAGGTGGAATATCCACAGTACATAAGGTGGAATATCCACAGCACATAAGGTGGAATATCCACAGTACATAAGGTGGAATATCCAAAGTACATAAGGTGGAATATCCACAGTACATAAGGTGGAATATCCAAAGTACATAAGGTGGAATATCCATAGCACATAAGGTGGAATATCCAAAGTACATAAGGTGGAATATCCACAGTACATAAGGTGGAATATCCACAGCACATAAGGTGGAATATCCAAAGTACATAAGGTGGAATATCCACAGCACATAAGGTGGAATATCCACAGTACATAAAGTGGAATATCCAAAGTACAAAAGGTGGAATATCCACAGCACATAAGGTGGAATATCCACAGCACATAATGTGGAATATCCACAGTGCATATAAAGGTGGAATATCCACAGTATATAAGGTGGAATATCCACAGTATATAAGGTGGAATATCCACAGTACATAAGGTAGAATATCCACAGTACATAAGGTGGAATATCCACAGTACATATAAAGGTGGAATATCTACAGTACATAAGGTGGAAAATCTACAGTACATAAGGTGGAATATCCACAGTACATAAGGTGGAATATCCACAGTACATAAGGTGGAATATCCACAGTATATAAGGTGGAATATCCACAGTACATAAGGTAGAATATCCACAGTATATAAGGTGGAATATCCACAGTACATAAGGTAGAATATCCACAGTACATAAGGTGGAATATCCACAGTACATATAAAGGTGGAATATCCACAGTATATAATGTGGAATATCCACAGTACATAATGTGGAATATCCACAGTACATAAGGTGGAATATCCACAGTACATAAGGTGGAATATCCACAGTATATAAGGTAGAATATCCACAGTATATAAGGTGGAATATCCACAGTATATAAGGTAGAATATCCACAGTACATAAGGTGGAATATCCACAGTACATAAGGTGGAATATCCACAGTTCATAAGGTGGAATATCCACAGTACATAATGTGGAATATCCACAGTATATAAGGTGGAATATCCACAGTACATAAGGTGGAATATCCACAGTATATAAGGTAGAATATCCACAGTATATAAGGTGGAATATCCACAGTATATAAGGTAGAATATCCACAGTACATAAGGTGGAATATCCACAGTACATAAGGTGGAATATCCACAGTTCATAAGGTGGAATATCCACAGTACATAAGGTGGAATATCCACAGTATATAAGGTAGAATATCCACAGTATATAAGGTGGAATAAAATATTTTTACACAAAGGAAAAGTACAAATGTGAGCCAATTTTTCAATTCTTCCATTATCCTCCACAATGGAAAAGAAAATGAGATTAACAGTATGAAACATTGACAGATGATATTAATTTGTTGAAAAATTTGTTGTTTATATTATTATCCCCAATTCCTCATTTTTGACAATTCCTGCATTGCTATAATTATAGTCACATCTTTCAACACTTTAATATCATTGACCAAAATTTACAGCAAGAATTGCCAAAGAACTTTTGACTAATTAGAGACAATTTATATGACTGTTTATATCAACATGACAGACGATATTCTAAAGAGGATGGTGATTTATTTGAAATAAAATGTTATAGTACTAGTGTAATGTATTGCCATGAGAGCTAATTAAAACAGGTGTAAAAAGATAGCTTCAATTGTAACTGTTGTATTTTTTTTTTGGGGGGGGGGGGGGGGGGGGGAAGAGGATCATTTTTGATAGCGGCAGAAATTTTGTCTTGCAACAAAGAGCTAATGAAAACTGGTGTACAAAGAAAGTTTTGATTGTAACAGTTGTTGCTTGCTTAAAGCTTTCAATGGCAAATATTTCATGCATTTTTGAGGGAGAACAAATTAACAAATAATCCAATAGGTAACCTTCTGCATAATGGTCAAACCAGAACAAAGTGCAGGATATTTTGGCAGCCACTGGGTTAAAAGAGGATGATGTTTGATTAGGGCAGAAATTTTGTCTTGTCAGGCCACCTAAAAGGACCCATTCCGAGAGTTTGAAAGTTTTGACATTTGGCTGATATAGTACAAGATTAGTCAATTATCAAAACACAAAAATGTTCATAATTTATGTATTTATGTACTGTGTCCTAGCTTGTCAAAAGGAGTGGTGATCCCACCTGTCCTTAATATGCACCCCTCTGTCCTTAAAATCATATCAATTTAATTCTGTGGGACAATAATTTACCAATTTAGAAATATCAGTAAAATTGTCCAATATTCTGTTGCTCTACAAACAAAAATAGATTCCTTTATCTATCAGCTACGAAAATAAATTTTTCTCTCTTCCTAATGAACATATTATCATAACACGATTTCTTTTGTGCAAACAATTAATTAGAACCTAAAAAAAACCTCTTTATAACAGGATTAATTAAACCCAGAGTGTTGTATATATTGCATCAATTATGATGATTTGTGTATAACTTGATCTTTATGGATTTACCCTTCTAACGAGTTCTGACTATTGATGTCAAAAGATTTTCTTCTTTCTGCCAAGTTTATTATGATACAAATACCTACG